TGGTTCTGTTGAAATACCCTCTTATAAGTGGGCCCACAGAAAACCACTACAAGAGAGTACGGTAAAGTGAAGAATTATGCCACTGCGCTATAAACGCATACCGGGCTCATAACTATCACGCTAAAAGTGATATCACCAAGAGCATTAAGCTAATTGGGTTTATATAGGCATATTCTCTCGTGACAATATATATAGTAGATCGACAGTATGTTTAAGTGTATATAGGGTTCGCAGACGTATATATAGATCGACAGCTATATGCGAAGTGTATTTAGGGTTCGCAGACGTATATATAGATCGACAGCTATATGCGAAGTGTATTTAGGGTTCGCAGATGTATATATAGATCGACAGCTATATGCGACGACAGGGTATATATATTCGACAAGGGTATATAGGTAGGGATCGACGACTAGCTTTATGCCTCCGGTGAGGTGTGATATTCAACTCCACTACGTCCGGTGACGTGTAGTATTGATATGGTATGTGTATGGCAGTGATCTGTATTATGCCTTCGGTGAGGTATCGTATTGATACTAGTATGCCAACGACGGTGAGGTGTGGTATATATATATATATACTAGTATGTCTATGGCAGTGAGGTATGATATCAATACTAGTATGCCTAGTGCTGTATAGTACTCTTCCTTATTTATACTACCTAGTAGTACGACAAGGGTATGGTATGACGTATATATAAATAGGCTAAGGACTCGGAGAGGGATTCGGGATCGATGTGGACTCGTACTAGTGTATGGATACGCTTATGTGACGTATGTGGCGTCTGGACTGAGTGAATACGTATCAACTCAATGAATTTTAGACGCGATTCGACGAATGCTCGGATTTCGGGCGCTTTTTCGACTGTTTTTCGGTCTTTACGACCCTTTCCTTGCTTTTTCGAATCGAATATCGACGTGTATAGGTTCGTATTTAGTCGTAGTTATGAGATACCGGGCTCATAACCTATCGTAGGTCATGAGCTAGTATATGAGTATATAGTATATAAGAGGGAATAGACTAATATTAGTCTATTATGGGAAGCTGGCTCGTATTAACAACTAAATAGCTATGAAACACGTGATTTTCATGAAACAGTATATGATATTCTTATTTTCTTTTTCTATATTCGAGGGGAAAAGGCCTTATTTTATGCTTTTTCCTACTAATCTAGCTTTCCACTTTCGTTTATTTCTCGTAGATCTCTTCCTAATCCGGCCATTCCATCAAATAAAGCTTTTCTTTCTTATTCCTTATTCGATTTCGCTAGTACTATGTCGATCTTACTACGAATGGATTGAAAGAACTAATAAAGAGCTAATAAAGAATTGATTTTCAGGCCGTTCTAGGCTAAGAGCTCTCTTAAGCGACGATCATGTGATTTGATCATGTGATCTTGTGATTCGCTCTTAGTATACTATATGAATATAGAACTATATATATATATAAAAAGATATATTATTATATTATTTTTTATATAAAAACAATAGAAATGATATATATGATACTAAGCAGTATGCTAGTAACAAACATCTTTTTCTATTCTAACAGGTTATGAGCCCGGATGGCGCAGTGGTAGAGTGTTACGATATGAGATCGTAACACAAGGACCCACATCCGGCAACTTGCGATTGGATAGAAAAGATCCACACACCCACTTGTATACAACCGGAACTGGAACCGGTTAGCTCCGTATAGAGGCGTAGAAGCTAGCTCCAAGGAAGAGCTGTAGGGCATACTACTTAAGGGGGAGTGTTGGAAATCATATATATGATACTAAGCAGTATGCTAGTAACAAAACATCTTTTTCTATTCTAACAAAGGTAAACGAAACCGTATAGTATTTGTATTAGAAAAGCTAGAGATGATATATTTTTCCTAAAGGAAAAGATGTATACCCTGTATCTAAAAGTAAATAATAAAATAACAATCTATTCATCAGCGAGATGGGTAATGAAATTGTTTAATTAGTTTTATATTAACTAGGAGTTTGATTCAATTAGAAGTTCTTTTTCAAAAAATATATAGTAAAACAAGAAGCAAAAGCCTGTAAGATTGCAAGATATATTAAAGGGTTGTATAAACACACTACAGCCTGCCAGTTATAGTATTATGCAAAACGGTGATCATCTGTATCCTTCCCATTGCCCTCTATAAATCCAAAATATAATATACAGATTGAATAAAGCCAAATCGGATAGGGAGAGCTGCCCATAGTATAATAATAAGTATAAGGCTGGGTAATCATATTATCAAAATCAATCAAGTAATCGTTTTAGTAGTAAAAAGGAGTTCTATTTGTTTGGTATACGACTCTGATTATTGCGATTCTGAGAGACTCTAGATTACTATTTAGCAAGCTAGTATTCGAACAGATACGAATAAGATTTGCACTCTGATTTTACAAAATGAATAAAAATCATTTACTAGTAATTTATTTAGTATAAGTATCTTAATACAAAATGAATAATACTAATCTTTATAGACTAATCAAATTAATCCCGAAAGCATTAAGATCAATACTCTTCTATTATATTTCTTTATAAGAAGCTGTAATAACCTTATAGAAGATATAAAGAAAGAAATAGCTATGCTTGAATTCATATAATAATGAAATTATCTGTCTAATAGCCATATTACAGTCTTCTTGAATAATATTAAATAGTACCACCAAGAATAAAAGATAGTCGGCTACAGCTATACAATCTACCAGAAACAATTTCCAGTAGCATCCAGCCATAGGGCAATCAATCCGCTCTCACACGTTTTCGACACTGAGATAATAGGTGTTCTAAAAGGTTTGAAACACGTTGTCTGACTAGAGCCAGCTGGGCAGATTATTATGTATATCAATAGCACTTTAGTCATCTGATGTATCAGGAATAATGCCTTTGATTTATCTTAATGGGCGTTTCTGTGCTATTATGAGATTATAAGGAATAAGTAAGTAACAATCCGATAATTGCCTGGATATACTGGAATCCTTGGAAATAAAAAGGTCGATCGGCTTGCCGATCTGAGTGTTTATAATAGTTATATCGAAAACAACAATTTATCGCTTTCTATTATTAGTGGGATAAGCTTAATAGCTAGAACCCTTAGATAAAAGGTAAAACAGAGATAATAAAAACAAAATGAGGTTACTCTTGCCGGCCGATATTATTACTGATACTTTAGCTATCAAGTCAAGGAATCTAAAGAACTTGCTTTTCCCTACTCTATTCTTCAGTAACTAATAGTATTTAGAACTGAATATAAGAACTTTGTATTTTATTATTGATACTTTTAGCACAATAATATTATCTCAAAATACTTTTGTGGATATAGTAAAGAGTCTGAGTACCTAATACTCTGTTAATACTCTCACATTCAATTCAATAACTAACTAAACAAATTCAGCTAATCCCATAAGATATAAAGAATACAATCGATTATTTCTCTTTTTTTTTAAAAATCTTAATAAACTTTGTAATCTTTTTAGTAATCACTAATTACTTCAAGCAATCATGCTTAATCTCTCCGGAGATCCTTTGATTTCCTATTTTTATATTGTTAATTGGGGCTGTACCCTTTCTAAAGCTACTTTCCTTTTTTTATTGCTGTATACAAATTGTATTAAATAAAAACTAACAATATAGAGCCCTCTGACTAGCTGCAAATCTAAGTTATTCAGTATGAAATAGATTGAATAGTATTAATATTGAAAGTGGGAGATAAGTGGCAGGAGTGTGTACAAACACTTCTGACCGCTTTTCTCCTCCCAGTCTGTATTATAACTGTAGAAAAAACGGAACGTGTGGCTATACCAGCACCCCCGCTAGCATAGTCTATCCTTAGTACCCCCTAGAAGGTCGTGGCAAGCCCCTGCAGGCTTGCCCCCTGAATGTAAATTAAAATAAATAAATAAATAAATTATAATACCTTCTTATTAACTGCCCTATATATAAAGCTGAAAGAAAAGAAATCTTTAAGGAAATATCTTTATTCAAAATTACTATATAATTCCTATTTTATACCAAAATTGATATCAAGTTAGCCATCAAATTCATTAATATCACTAAAATAGCTATAAGGGCATAGCATCTGACTAGAGCTCTGATACAAAACGAAACAGGAGAAAGAAAGATAGTAGAAAAAGAAGAAGATATAATAATAGAGGGAGAAAAGAGTTATTATAGAAATAAAAGGAATAGTAGTTAAAGAAGAAAAAAAAAAGGAAAAAGTCTCTTACTAATTCTTGAGTATTATACTTTCCTTTTCTTATTATATGCAATATATATAATAAGCGGGTACTAATCCCCAATATTTGTTTCACTTTCCTAAATCGAATATATCTATTTTTGTAGAATAAAAAGTTATCTGTTAGAGCCTTTAGAGGCTTAGTTATCCTATATAGTCTTAGACCTGAACGTAGACGTAAATGAAATCAATCAATCAATCAATCAATCAAGCCAGAATCTATCCATTGACGTCCTGCGCATCCCAGCCGGCTTTCTGCAAGATCTACACACTCTTCTCTAGTAAATTTGTCTTTCTAGCCTCACTGCTAGTTTTCGAGATTGGAAGCGTTGTATGTGCTACTTCGCCGAATTCTCATGATTTCTTCCTTGGGCGGGCGTTGGCAGGCCTTGGGTCTGCTGCAATACAAGCAGGCGCTACAATCATCCTCGCCAAATGTGTTCCGCTACGCCAGCGACCGGCATGGAACAGCATTATTGGAAGTATCTTCGCAGTTGGGAGCGTAGCTGGACCTTTATTAGTATTTAAATGTTTCTCATCCTTCAATCGTTTGTTGCTATGATTGACACTAGAGTAGGGAGGGGCTTTCTCAGACTCCACGACATGGCGTTGGTGTTTCTACATCAATCTACCGATTGGTGGTGCCGTAATGATTTTCATCGCTTTCTTTTATGACGGTAGTCGTGGCCGCAAGAATACATCCAATTCAACGGGATTCAGTAGCCGTCGCGAGATTTGACTTGGCTGGTACTTTCACCTTCATGTCAGCAACGATTTCTCTTCTCTTGGCGCTATCATGGGGTGGGACCACCTTTGCATGGGTGAGTGCACGCATTGTAGCCCTACTAACTCTCGCCGGTGTCCTATTCTGTTCGTTCTTCGGTATCGAATACTGGATGAAGGATAGTGCCATTATTCCTTTACGTTTACTACGCCCACGAAGCATAATTGCAGCGATATGGTTCGGCCTCTGTCTTGGAGGTGTATTTTTTGTATGCAGTCCCACAACACACGTAAAATTTCATCTAGCTGACTTGAGTACTATTGCTGTTCTAGGTCAATGTTTTCTACATACGTGGGTATCGAAAATTGTTTAATGATGACACATACTGATCCAGCTATAGCGCTTTGGTTTCAAATAGTCGATCGTGTCTCTGTCACCAAGTCTTCCATTCTGTTCATTCCATTCATGATCAGTGTCGTTGGCGGATTTATGTTTGCTGGCTTTGGACTGCTGCAACTGGATATTATACGCCGTTCGTCTACGCTGGCTCAATTATCATGCCGATAAGTACTGGTCTTCTGATGACTGTTCAGCCTCAGTACAATTCACGAGCAAAATGGGTTGGATTTCAGATACTTATCGGAGCTGGAGTCGGCCTAGGAGAAGAACAAGGAATTTATATGGTGCAAAACAACGCTCCAAGAACTTGACGTCGCAACTGGCATCGATTATTTTGTTCGCTCAGATTTTCGGCGGAGCACTTTTCGTGTCAGTTGCAAAGGCGATTTTCCTAGAAAATGTTAGCAAGGCACTAAGAACGTCTGGCCCCCAACTTGGATCCTCACTCTGTTCTGGACGGCGCAATGACGGCTTTTCCTGGCAATTATTCTACTGAGACATCAGCAGAACTGCAATCAGTGTATGGTATTGCGACTAAGAAGCTCTGCGCGTTGGACTTCTACTCGCAACGATATCGATTGTGGAAGCCCTGATGTACGATTGGAAAAGTTTGAAGACTAAGCACAATAATAGGAGTGGTGAACGTAATAGTGACAATGAGTTGGATCAATTCGCAGGCGTTTAAAAATTTCTATGGAACGAAGGATTGGCAAACATAAACACTGTCCTATTAGTGTCTGTGGTGGTTGGTGGACGTACCGAGAATTGAGTGAAAGAAGGTACTTGCACTTGAACATCGCCATGTTTCGAAAAATTGTGTACAAAGTCTTAATGGAAGATTTCACGAAAAGAAATGACCCAAAAAGATCTAAGATCCATGGTAAGTATCATAGCATAGCTAGATGGGGCGAGCGAAAGGAAGCGAAAGTCGGTAGCATGATTGAGAAGAATCCTTTTCATTTCGATGAAAAATGTGCTTATCTTCTTACCACGAACCTAAGCGTTACTGCAACTATTGTCCACGTGCTTCGTTCAACTTCAAAAGCCGTGAGAGATGTGTTTAGTTTGGGCAAGGGCAAGAATCTAACGAGAATGCCAATATATGCGATCTCCGAGACAGTGTGATTAGATCCTCATTGCCAGCAGATGCTTTTGTACAAGGAGGTGTCTTCTTGACGGTACATGTTAATTGGGCTTATGCCGGTAGTCGTTGGGCTCTCCCGCACTTGAATCCTCTGATCAACCTTGCCCTGGTGGGTTTCTGCATTGCCTGCGCTTTGTCTTCCCTTGCACCTGTTCTTAGGGGCTACATCCGAATTCAATGGCTTTCTGGCTGCCCACCACCAGTGTATATCAATTCATTGGATGGTGGCTACCTTCATTTCAGGCTAACCTATTGCCAACATACACTCCGTGCTTTTCGGAGCCAACTCCCAGAGCCAAGCATTCTTTCTGATTCAAAATTTAAAGTTGAGGCAGTATGGTAAATTAAGTCCCAGGTGTACTTTCACAGTCCACATTATAGGCACCATTCTTGGCGCTTTCATCAATAACATCTTGATGAGTGCTATAATCACCAATCAACGTGAGATGCTACTCTCAACTCAAGATACTAATATCCGGTCTGGTTAACTCATACAGTCGCTCAATTCCAATGGGAGTCTTTCCCTTTCGTAATATTTTACTCCAAGTCTGTTACATTTGACGCACCCTCGACATGTATGTTTGGTGTTGGCCAGGCATAAGACTAGATTGTCCTCGCACTTCCATTCAGTCTACTTGTTTCCCTACCGTTCTACCTGCTGCATCAACAGAAAAGTGGCCCACCATCGGTTTTGACTATATCATTGCGCAAGTCATTTGCTGGTATCTCGGCTACATCGCCGCCGGAGTTTTTTATTATCGACTTCTTTTTTCAAATCTACATAAAAAACGCTACCCAAGATGGTTTCTGATGTATAAGTATCTACTCGCTGCAGCCATCAGTGGAGAAGCGGAGCTGTTAGTTTTCATCACAACATTTTATGTACAACGTGCCACTGGAAAAGCGATCCTATTTTCTCCATTTTGGCGGAACAATTACGAAAATAAAAACTTTGACTATTGTTCGACAAACTCGGCTTTGACCAAAGTGAGATAGATAGTAATTGTTGAATTTAGATGTAGTAGAAGAATTCCCGAATTTTGCATACCATGAAAAGTCATAGTTTCCTTACCACACAAAACTATTTTAGGAATATATGACTACACAATATGAATTGCATCAATTGACACCGGGAAAGGATGTTCTACGGGGAAGGAACATCGTGCGGCAAGGGTAATATCTGAGACAAGCTTTACTTATAAGCTTTTTTGACTGTTCTCGGACATTGTCTTCTTTGAAAAACATCCGAATAGTGATACGGACTCTATCGGCACTTATGACCCCTACAGCACAGCCCTATAAATGGGTGTTTACCCTGTGACGATCTAGATTTTTCCGCTAGAGGGCATCTATAAGCTTTAGGTCCTGTCGTATCAGTATTCGCTTCAGGCATTCCGCATCAGGCACGAAATATGCCCCCACACGAAGAAGTTTTGCATAGAAGATTCCAAAGTCTATTTCAATCTGAGGCTTTCTTGTTGAAAATCACCACAATAATGTGTGTTTGAGTAGGAATGTGTTTAAGCATAGCCATGCTTGCGGTGAAGTATGCGGCTATCGCAACCTCGTTTAAGGTTTTGCTGCATCTCTGGAAGTTATATCGGGGTTTCTAGTTTTAATCCTTGCATATAGGGCACGTTTGGGATTTTCTCGAGTCTTCATATATTCTGAGAGGAGAATGCCGATTTTAATTTATCACCTCATATGCTCTATCTTATTCCAACTAGCTGAAGTCACTAAATAAAAGAAAATGAAGGTTAATCAAGGCAGACCAATTCGCTGGCATGCACTCCTATCATTAATTTTGTCTACAATATCATTTACTCTGGGCGTCATCACAATATTCCCGGGTTCAAATGACGGAGTTTTAGAAGATTTGTTATTTCCTGAGGGCAAGTTGTTTCCTGTTATATTCATATACTCCCGTCTGATGTTGAATAGTTAAAAACAGCAAACCTCGGTCAGAGTTTGGTAGAATTTGCAGCAGTCAATTCTACTACAGCAAATACCACAAGCATAATCGATATATCTGCTCTGGACACCCGCGCTTTCTCATCAGATTTGATAGAAAAGAGAGATGCAGCATCCGATTTCGCCACAGCATTATTCGGTAATGTAATCAAGGAAGTCAAGAGCATTATGAAGAAGATTGAAGGCTGGCGACAACGATGGTCTCAAAGAAGCCGAAAAGGTGTTGGTCTCGAATATCACAGATACTGTTGGAGTTGCAGATTTCTACAGTCTACATGTAATGAAAATATGTCGAGGCACTATTACAACAGAGGACAAATGGGTCGTTGATGGCTGTTCGAATTATTCTCAAGCTTTGAAAGGTAAGTCAAAATTCATAAACTCAATCCTACCCGCGAAATGAACACACCGAGCTAATGTATTGGAAAGGCCTGACACAACTCACCTCATCTACTCCATCGACCTTCCGTGTCGTCAACACTACTCTTACCGTTCCGCTACTTGGTCTTGCTACCACCGCAATGCCATTCACTGCCGGAATGCTGAACATAGGCACCATTGCTATCCTCGTTTTTTATGGTCTAGCGTTGATCGGATCGGGTGCCACAATCGTTCTATCAGTAATCTATATGTTCAAACCTACGGCTTGCATCGTCTACTGCGCTCTCTTCTTTTCATTCCTCGCGTCTAATTTTACAATGACTGTTACGCTGAATCTAACAGCCGTTACCAGCATGGTAAGCCAGATGGTCTCTTTAGTAGGGCCTGCTCTAGGTGTCGAAGCTTCTGTTGGGGGTGCATTCCTAGGGAGCTCATGGATAGCCGCCATATTCGCACTGATATTTAATCAGTATTGGATGATGGTCTGGCTAGTAGAGATCAGAGCATATGGATTCAGAAAAAGGATAAGAACGGATGAGGAGATTGGAGATTGGAAGGGAATTATGACTGAGTTGAAGAGAGATTGGAAGAAGCCTGTACCGGATGGACTTCTTACTTCAGATTCTAATGAAAATCTCATGTTAATAGAGAGAGTAGATGAGGTCACTGGTCTAGCGACAAAAGAACAGTCATATCGTTAAGATGATCAAGACTGGATGGACGGTAAGGATTAAGATTGCAGGAAGAGACTGGAGGATCACCATAAACCAGATATATTCAACTATTGCGGGTCAATACAAATTCAAAAGGAGAATCGAGGAATTGGAACGGGTAAACATGGGTCAGTTTTGGATATGGTCTCAAGGATTGATATTTTAGAGTAAAAATAACATCAAGAATTCACACGGTTTCAATTGCGACGGATCAGAAGGAATTTGCAATCATTGGTTTATGAGACACTGAATGAGAGTCTTTACTATCGCTCTTCGCTACATATAAATCACTCCTTTTCAGAGGAATATCCCACTTCAATATCTTCTATATCCCAGACCACCCCCTTCCTCAACGATTCCCTTAGTGGTATGACTGCCCTTGGAGATCGACTGGGAGTCTATTTCAAACATCCCGGCTATCTCAATTGCGTAATCTTCAAACTTAATCGACTGTATCCTTGAGAGCCGACTCCACCTTAGGTTGGCCAGACCTAAGGCTTCTTGACTCTCTTGGAATCTCGTTGATTTTACCGACTGCTCCCCTGCTTACTCGAGTAATAAAATTGCCTCCCTCCCCCGCGCAAGTCTTTCTGTCTTTCCCGTCTCAACACCCCGCCAAAATTCTGGCCACGAACCTCGAAATCTTGCCGCCAAACAAGATTCCTGAGATAAGAGCACCATAAACAATTCCTCCACCAGCACTTTTGCATATTCTTCTCTCTTCATAACCATCGCCTTGACATTTGCTTCCTTCCTTCAACCGAATTTCAAACTGTCGGGTCAATCAAACCTCTCATTTCAAAACATACATTCGAATTCTATCTCAATCTCAATCCCGAAATCAACCCCCAAAATATAAAGATGTTTTATACACCAGAAACCACATCTCATAAATCGGAAAGTAATAATCCGTGTATGGCACTTCACTTGCCAGAATCAAATGGATGCGGAGTCAGAGACAAGTTCTCCGACGGAATCGTGGTATGTCGTGAGTCGTAATAGTAAACCATGAATGACAGAGTCGCCATACTCTGCCAACAGACAAAGATTCGTAAAAAGGATTCATATCCCGAAAGTTCCGAGAACCCCGGAGATCATAGTAGTGGTGCAATAAATAGAAGAGGTATCTGAGAGCCAGACCCATAACACCACAAGGTCGAACTCATGGATCGATTGACATAATCCAAAACTCCGGATTATCGTATATAGTATTTCGTCATTCCCTAAAATATAACTTTGTAGAAGATATGCCCAAACATATCTTCAAATCGTCGCTGATATGATGTCGACGAGTTCTCTGAAATCAAGGGGAGAATGATTTTTGATATGTATGCAGGAAAGACTGATTTGAAAAGCAAACAGCACTGCATGGTGATTTTGAATTTTTCCTGGCTCTAGTGATCAATCCTTTTAGGGGAAGTAAAAAGCAGGCTAAATGTTGTAAAGCAAACGTTTTTTTTTCGGGGGGGGGTTTGGCTTTGTGTTGGTTTCTTAGGGTTTGTATTGAGCAGATTTTTTGATGCGGCAATAATGGCGATGAATTTTTTCTATCTTTCTCGAGATGATATATAATCATCATGAAATAGGAGGATAATCAGCTGCATCTCCTATTCTTTGCAATCTGGCCACCCTCAGTCCCCCAAAAGAGAAGGAAAGGTGAAGTCTCAGTCAACCACTACCAATCGATGGGTCCGAATGGATGGGCATTACTTTCAACCTCGGTATCAAGTTCGACGACAGGGGGACTTTCTGGGACGTTGATAATCTCAACAACTTGTGGTATATTGAGATTGGTGGGATGAGAACATTCATCGTCACCCGAATCATCACTGCTGTCGTCCTCCATCACAGCCTCAGCTTTTGGGACAGTGTGATTCTCGTATTTTTTCACCACCTTCATATACTTGGCAATGCGTTTCTTCGAGACGTTCAAGTTGCGAAGGAGAAGCTCGCGGTCGAATGTTGCATAAACTTCGACTTCATTCTCCTGCTCCCATTTTTGAAGGTCAAACAATTCCCATGATGTCTTGGCCTTCAGAAATTGCAATTCTGTTGGTTTCATTGTGATTTCGACATTCGCCAGGTCTGCCGGGACCCTGTGCTTTTGGTAAAGCTCTGCATCTTCATCTTCATCTAAGTTTTCGAGATCAACATCTTCATCGGACTCTTCTGGTGTGGTGTCATCTATGGTAATGATTTCGCATTCATCACTTTCTGACATCTCTGAATCCTCAACGTCGGAGTGGCTAGATTCATCACAGTCATCGGAGCCTTCAGAATCGTCAGGAAAATCTTCAAGTGGAGGCAAACCGACGCAGCCTTCTAGGCTAACATATGGGCCAGTGCTTACCTCGGGTGATTCGGACCGAGGGGTTTCCTCTTCTGGTATATCGCTGGATTCTTTGGTAGAATCTGAGTCGTCATCTTCAGAGGTCGAAGATTGCTCTACTGGCATTTCCATGGCGTTTGAGAAAGTGAAAGAAGCGTCTAGCAGGGAAAATGGATCCTCGTCTGTTAATCTAGACTCCTGACCTGAAGCATCCTTAAACTCAAATATTGCATCATTGAAATCTCCCTCAAAGTCGGCGGAACTCTTTAGAGAAACCATTGAGCTCACAACAGGGGCTGATGAGATTTCCTCCGAGTGATCCTGCTGATGTCTCTCATCAAAGGAAAAATCATCTTCTGCTTCAAAATTATCGAAAGCAGAGCGAGGAATGACCGGTGTTGAAGATTTTTCTTCAGCAGCTGCATCCTCAGCCATTTGAGCTTCAAGACAACGTTCCATTTCGGCCTCCAATTCATCAAAGACAGATTCGGGAACGGCTGGTTCACGAGAGACAGGTTTGCGGGTGATCGGTATATTGAAGACAGAGTTCTCGATATACGGGTGAGCAAGCTCATAGGCGACATTAAGGTGGTGTGGTGGGGTAATTTCACTCTCGTCTTCATCAGCGTCTGACATATTAGTCTTATAACCCCGATCCCTGGGCATAGAAGGGCTCCTCTTGTAAGACACCATTATATCCCTTGTACAAGACAGTTGGCTTAGAGATCTTCAGAGAAACTTCACATTGCTCTTCATCAGATTCATCTCCGGAAGAATATTCATCGCTATCTTCGTCTGATGAATCTTGATCGGATGATTCACCATTTCAGCTCGAAGGGACAATCAAATCTTCGAGAGCTGATCGCAATTGCTCAGCATGGAAGGAATTTTGGAGTTCGATTTGTATTTCGCGCTCAAGCTCAAGTCCATGGCGTCTATAGCCTCCGCTGTGTCAAAGGGCTCTGTGTTCGGAGTAAGTAATAGTCTTGAAAGTTTCTTTGGCATTTTCAAATTTAAAAAAGTCATTCAAAACAGATCCTTTATCCGAATTTGCAGCTGGAAGTCCAGGAATCCGAGAAATTGTGGCATTGGTCGTTGGGCTTGGCTTGAAGGTCTAGGCTTGGGATCGAGGCTAACCAACATCTTTGTTGATTTTTGTCTCTGGCACCACCTTAGCCTCAATGTTCAAATCTGCTGGAAGAGAACGATTAATATCAGCCACGAGCTTTGGCTGTTCTGGGATCTCCACTTTCTTTGGCTCAGATTTGTCTGTCATGATGTCTTTTGTGTTTTCCACTTTGTCAACAACTGGAGATATAAGAGCGGGCACCACTCCGTCAGTTTCCATTTCCCTTCTTGATCACCTTTCTTGGGGAGGAAGTTGATTGTGTAATACTAGATGACGTAGATCTACCAGCCTCTTTTTTTGGTATCTCGGTGCTCAATGGTTTTGACGAAACAGATGGCTTGTTGAGTTCAAAATGAGGAGCTGGAACGGCGCGACGACGATTAGATTGTACCTCTCCACTTGATGAAGAGGTGGGCATTGGTATTGAAGAAGGAATTTTTCTGGCAACTTCATCCTTGGAAGCAGGAGTAACGCCACGGCGACTAGATTGAGCCTTATCAGAAGTGCTGGTAGAGGCTGGTAATGTTTTCTGAATCGAAGCAGATGGCTTTGCGACTTCGGAATTAAGAGCAGGAGCAACTTTACGGCGACTAGGCTGTGCCGCTTTGGTTGATGCCATGGTAGACATGGATCCTGACGAAGCAGATGATTTCGTAACTTCGACTTTGGAAGCAGAAGTTGGGCCACGACGACTAGATTTAGTCTTGACAGGGGCTTTATCAAAGGCTGATCGTGGTGGGATGCTATCAAATGCTGATCGTGGGGTCTGATTGGTTGAGCTGCAACGCTTGGTGCTTCACCCAAGAGCTCCTCCATGGAGACGTTATCAGAGGCTGATTGTGGGCTCTTAATTGGTTCATCTGCTACATTTGGTGCTTCGCCAAAAAGCTCCTCCATGGAAACGTTGGGAAGATATCGGAGTTTTAATGGCTCTTCAGTCGATGGAGCGGCTGACTCGCTCCGCGATGCGACAACTTTTGGTTTAACTTGCGTGGAAATAGATTTCAAGACTTTTTCCGTAGATTTCTCACCATTTTCGTTTGCTGCTTTAGAAACAGATTTAGGTTGCATGAAACCCTCCTTTGGTGCTGTTGGCTTCTTAGTAGATCTGGAACCACCAAAACCGAACAGATTCTTGGTGGGGTTGTTTCGAACCTTTGTCTCCTTGATAGGGGCGCGCTTTGCAGGAGCCTATTCGATTGGTCAGTAAGTTTCGCTTATGATTTTATAATATGAACCAGCTTGTGAGTAGACTTACAGCAGCAGGATTTTTAATTTCTTCAGTGATCTTCTGTTTCTTTACAGAACCACTTGTTTCTACCTCCTCAGTATGCTTGCGCTTGGTGGAAACATTTTCAAAGTTCATGCCTGCCTTTGTGGTCTTCGGCTTCTTGGCAGGCTTAGCGAATTTTTCTTCAGACTTAGTAGAGTCTGTGTCGAAATACTTGCGCTTGAACGAAGATTGCTCCTTCTCTTTAGGTTTCTTGAGGTCCTGGGACTTTTGAACTCTGGGAGGGAGCTTTGGGATATCGGGCTTGACCTTTGTGGTGTTCTTAGCCTCATTCTTGATTTCATTGCGGCCAAAGGTCTTTTGGTCTTTGTTGTTTGATGGCGCATGACCAGAAGCTGGGACTGAAGCAATGGTCTTGTTGTGTTTGTTATTGACTGGGGCAAACTTCCGATTTTGATTACCGTTGTTCATGCGACCTTTGTAAACTATATCCTCTTCGTCGCTATCGATCTCTCCGTCTTCCTTCTCTGCCATCTTGCGCTTGATTTTGGCGGCGGCAGCAGCTTCCTCGGCGGTTTTCTTCTCAGCAACCTCGTTCATTGATTTTCCTGGACGCTTCTTCATACGGGGAAGAGATGAGATGGAATTGGAAGTGCTCTGTATACTATGATCAGTACAAATCAACTAATAAAGATTAAATACGATGACACACCGGTTTAGGAGCTTGATTTACAGAAGTTGCGGCGGTGGGTGAGCTAGCCTTTGTAAGAGGGTTTGCAGCCTGTGAATCACATTAGTATCTACAAATGATGTTATTTTATATCGCAAAGAAATGGAAGTTACTTACATCGCGGGCCTTCTTCTCAGCAGCTTCAGCACGTGCTGCCTTAAGCTTTTCAATGCCAGAACTGATCTTCTGTTGTTTAGTCTATCCAGTTAGCAATTGAACTATTTCTTGATTTATGTTGACTTAAAACACAAGGAGAAAATGAGAGATAGAGATTGACGAGAGTCATAGCACATACCATGTTGTTGCTTTGTTGAGGAGGCATCGTGAATGGAGTTTATTACTTGGTTGAAGTAATGGTAAACGTTATGTGAATGGATTTAATATTACTCAGAAAGTAACAGGTAGCGAAGTTGTTGTTTTGTTGTAAATGTAAGATAACGGAAGCGCTATCCAAAAGGTATTCTTGAAAGAAGTCTTGGGTTTTGAAAATTTCTTACAGAATAGGAAGAAGAAGATGTTGAGATCTTTCGGAGGATGGATTTTTGGAAGCTTATATGTAAAAACTATATGTCATTCACGGCGACAAAACATTGCTACGGTTCGAGCTGGCTGTATTGAATGTCGCATGTTCACTACCAAAAACCGTATTCAACCACAAATCACGGCGCGTCTTGATGCCGTAAAGATAGCGATTACTGTTGCACATGAACTCAAATTACCAATCAGTCGGATGTTTTTGTTCGCACGGTCATTACAATACTGTACCAAAGAAATATTTGATTGTATTTGGCTCAATAGCCGTACCCATTTTGTTAAGACCAATATTAATGACCTGCCTCAACCGAGCGAAACCATTGTATGGCTGGATTGAAAAGATGATATGTACACTTCCAAATCGATCACCCACACTGTAGGTCCCCATCAGTACGGCCCTTAAAAGGCTGCGATTGATGTTCGGAACGTTCACTGTTACTCTAAGCATACTGCCAGCTATCCAACTGGGTTCACTCCTCAGAGTCAGTGGTTCCTTAACCAGGGGTAGGAATGGCGTGCGTTCATACATCTCACTAGTATGCCGCTTGTCAGGCTTTGATATACATAGAATCCACAAAGGAGATGTATATATGTTGATACCAATGACTCTTCTGTTACCTTGTTTTTAAGGGCAGATAGCTGCTGTACAGTCTTGATATGAATGCTCTTTCCACTTCACTATTTCAGGCTTTGCAGGGATGCCTAATTATTTGGAATAATTATGAGACTAGTATCTACTTGTATCTGGCTGCTCCATATTTATGTGTTGCATAAAAACTGAAGATGGAGAGATCATGTGCCATCTTCAAATTCTTGATTCAAGACAGCGACTACGTCTTAAGCTCATACAACTTCTGATTGAGATCACAAGCATTCTTCTGATGTTGGAATCACTTCGTGATATTGTCTTGCTTCTCCAATATAAATTCCAACGATATTACCACTATCTAAGATCACTATACAGTCCTACTCCATACAAAAGTAGATATTGAATTAGCCATTAAATTTATTAATATTATTAAAATCGCTACAAGAGCATGGCACCTGGCCAAGGCTCTCATACAAGACAAGATAGAGGAAGGAATAATAATAGAAGAGGAGAGAGGAGAAGAGAATGAAGAAAAAGTAATTAGGAAAATAAAAGAGGGCTTTGATTTCCTTACAATTTCTTGATTTTCATAATTTTTTTATTATATGCAATGCATATAATGAGCGGGCACTATTCCCCAGCATTTGTTTTCACTTCCCTAAATCGTATATATCCATTTTTGTAGAATAAAAAGTTATCCGCTAGAGCCTTTAGAGGCCTAGCCGTCCTATATAGTCTTAGACTGAAGGTGGACGTAAATGAAATCCAACCAATCCAACGATATTCTAGCTGACAGTGTATTATGTAATGTTCTTGTCCCTTTCTATTCAAAAATGATTTGCTTCACTTTGCGCCTCACTAAATCTAACTCAACTCAATCGAAGACCTGAGTAGCTAAATTGAGTAGACACTTGCTCAACAGTCATAGAAATGACTGAAGTTGATTTAGAAAAGCTGACTGCACCTGAATTGCATAATTTATCTTATGCTTCATTTTGCAAAAAAAAAAAAAAAAAAAACCTTCTGGGCTTCAAGGGATCCTATTTAAAATATGACAAGTGAATGAGAGAACAATTTCTGCGATCTTCGAGCTTTCATCAAGATAGTCACCTGTTGACAGACCACTGGGTCCACAAACAGGGCGACTTCCGGGTTTGAACATATGTGATGAAATCCAGTAATAAGCGGTTCGCTTTTTTGTACTTATTGCGACATAAATGAACCAGAAACAAGGATGAAAATGGCATGCACAGAGGTTCGTTGTAGATGTTCATAGTTGAATAAGAGACATCAATACCTAGGTAGGCCAGCGACATTTAATTTTAACGGATGATAATCAACCATTGATGATTGAAGATTAAGCTTCTGTCTGACTGCCCAAGATCGATAAGCTCTATGATTTGAAGCATGACACCAGAAATCCTTGCTACTTACGCTTTCCTGAGGACTCACCTGAATAGGAACACCATAAGAGCCATGCAACATCTGAGGTATATCGGAAGGTTATTTCAATCCCGCAAGATATTCTCGCGTCCTCCAAAAATCTCATGAATTTCACGTTGACAGTCAAAGTGACTTCTAATCTCGATAATTTGATGTAGTAGTAATGATGTAGTAGTTGAGCAAATTATTCTCCTGCTGCACTTTCAAAATGAGTTAGATCATGTTGGGAAGATAATATATTGATTTGAATTCAGAGTCTGTGAGAGAAGGTGGTGGTTTTTAAGTGTGAGGTTTTGCCGAGATTATACCACAATCTACAATGTTTTATTCGCACTAGTCTCATCTTGGCCTTCTGATAATCCAATGGTAATTGTGCCTCGTTTTTTCGAGCTTTGAATTGACAGCGAAATCAAAGCAAGTAAAATGTTTCAAAATTTCTGTCCTTTACTCATTGCGGGGTTACAGGCTTCCTCATCGGGCCGGATATCACACGATGTGGGACAGCTAGATTTCAGAACAATCAAAAGAGTCTAGGAAGTAATTTAAATGAGCGCACCACCGGTGGTGCATGGTAATGTAAAATTTCGAACTGAGGAATTGAAGATAACAAATAACAACAACAATAGCACTATAAACATACTCGTTGGCAACAGGCCTGCCTTCAAACTCAACTATATACATTGAATAGTTTTGGGGTACCAATACCCTCCATCCCGTTGGTAGAAATATTTCTACAATGCTGCCAAGATCGCGTTGTATGCGGGCTTTGGAGAATAGTTGGCATCGAACAACAATGGGCTGGAGCTTGAACGCCATGAGTCGGTATCACGGAGACCCCAGACTGTAATACCAACACACTTGCTGACACTCAAGCATGCATTGACGACCTATTCAGTAATTAGAGCCGGTTCTTACTTCATCTCGAAGGGAATTCCTCAGGAATTTAAACTCACATGACATAATCAGTAGAAGCTGCACCAGCGATATCCAATTCTGTAATCGCAACTTCACTGACACCAGAAGCGGCAAGTGCAGTCAAAGCGCCTTTTGCAGCAGCTCCTTGGCCGGCTGAGAGATGGGTTTGCGAACCGATTCCATCAATGGGAATTCCTTGAGCGATCCAAGTTTTGACGTGTGCGACCATACCCTTTGTGAGTTTGGCATAAGATTCTGAATCAAGGGCTTCATGAAATGTTAGCTTTGGATGTAGAAATTTGAAGGATAGAATTACTTGTAATCATTGATGTAGAGCTTTGCGTTTGGATCAGCTGCCCGAGCGGCTTTGAATGCGATGGACACAAAGCTTTCGCCAAGGACTCTGTAAGACACGCTGTCTCTCATCGAACCATCTTCATTGAAGATTTCATTGACGACATCCTTATAATGGTTAGTTATATGAGCAAAATCAAGATATAATGACATACCCATGCGTAAATCTTTCCCTTCCAGCGAGTCGCCTCTTGGGTGACATGATTTTGAAGGACTTTAGTGAGCGTGTCCTTGTTTGAAATAGAGCTAACCCAGCTAGGGAGTTGAGAATGCCAGCCTATTGATGTCAGTTCTCATTCTCAAAGACAAATTTGGTATGACAAACAGAGTGTGTGGCCGCGAACAAGTTTCTTGTTCTCGGTAGCGAAGTTTACCAAGTAGTCGCCACCAGCGAAGTTAAACTTGTTTTGTGTTCCTATCCACAGTCAGCTATATACTCTTCAAGACCATACGAATATATATACCCTCAATAGCGTCCCACTTCATGCTATTTTCTGGTGTCACTTGTCCAAAGTTTGCTTTGATGACAGCCGCATTCTTTCCAGATGAAAGAAGGTTTTGATCTGTGGCAAGACCAAAGTATTTCTTTCCATGAGCAACAAATTTGTCGTTGATGCTACTGCTACTTCCGCCGCTGGTTGGACTTGTGATCTCGGTTCTCAAGGTCGTCGGGGTGACGATTGTCGCTGTAGCTGAGGGAACAACATTTCCGGGGATGCACTGAGAGTAATCTAATAAAATGAGTAAAGGTTGTAAATGTTGCTAAAAGGCTTAACATACAATCGCTATAACTATGTTAGCTTCATCCAAAAGTTTTCAATGGGGTTTAACTCACTTTGAACGTGTGCAAGTATATCCTGATACACAGGTTGTAGCACCAGTCCAGCCGTTACCGCCACCTGAAAGGGTCAATCATGATGTGCTTTTTGTTGTGTTGAGTCAACTTACATTGATCCCAACCTTGGCTCTGGGCCAAAGCGAGATTGATATGACCGAGCATGGCAGCCAAAGCTGCAACATTCAAAGCTGAAAACATATTGTTGTTGGAGTAAAAAGATAGACTAAGTGAAGAAGAAGAAGTGAAATTGTTTGAATGTGTGATAAGAAAGAATAATGAGGGTGAGAACTTGATCATATATACTCCTATTTTTCACTATATCATCTTCTGTTTGTCAGCCAAGATGGATTAAAGGAGCAATTAAACACAAACATTGGACAATCCATACCTTCGAAATCATCAGCACTAAGCAAAGCTACTTCTTCCGTAATTCCGGGGCTTATAGGCTAATATCAAGCATTGTAGTGTCTGCCCTATGAATTCAAGACATAAAACTACTCGTGATCTTAAGATTAATGTTCTTTCCTACGTTTCAAGGGGCGGCCCGGCTGTTAAGCACCCCGCAAATGCCAAGATTAGTTAAGGATACACTAAGCAAAAAGCCTAAATTGAGAGATGGGGTACATCCAAGGGGCATGGGAACAGCGCTTTATTACGCCTGGATCAGTTTATATAGATTCATTTCGGTACTCTTGGCTCAGCTATAACGAAGCTGAGTTTATTCCTCGTTTTCCTGTCTCCACACCTATATTGTTGGTCACTATGGAGTTGTTTTCATGTAAGGACGAATTGAAATGAAGCTTTTTACTTGCATTCACAAGAAAAGTGGCAATACTGTTTCAAAACTCCTAACATGGCAACCACTTGTCAAATATGGCTCTTTCGTCGACAGGGGATTCTTGAAGTGGACCGATTAGTACGCGATAGATCGTGTCGACCTTGGCAATGTTCTCAATCGGCCCAATCTTTTTCAGATGACCAATTCCGTACGAATTGTGCATTGCTTCGTCTGAATAATTGAGAAGTGCCGGCATTGACCAAACTACCATTGAGTTGCAATTTCGCTCCAGTTTCAGGGTAGCTTTATTGAACTTGCAACGGCAGAGAATAACAGATCTCGCAATGGAAGCATAAGTCAGAAAAAGAGAAAGCATAAGTATAAGTATAATTTCCTTTTGACTTGAATTTTGTTATATGTACTGCCAGGTGTAATGAAAAAAGATTGATAAGAAGGGTTTTCAATTACAGTGGTTACTCGAATGAAGAAAGCCGAAACGCCGCTGATGTTGACAGGACTTGCGGGCCGAGATTCTGGCGATGAAATCCGCGCCCAAAAGCTTCTAAATTGCTTCTGACAACGTTGATCATGGTCATTTGTGACTTGAGGAGCCTGCACGCATGAAGGATTAAAACAACAATGCCTGTAGACGATAGCTGATCGGCAAACTTTTGCAGGTGTCAAGTGTTAAAAGGTTAATCTAGCACAGAACAAGAATAAGCTTCTTCGTCTCAGCCTATCACATCACGCTAGAGTCATTAATGCGTACGTGCCGATGCTAGAGTAGCACCGTACTGCAAGAAAACTCATGAAGTGGATGCCACCGGCGATTTCATGGACTCTACGTTGTCGCGATCCTTTTCCAACATGCAATAAGATGCAATAAAAAATGCAACGAGAAGTACAATGAGACTTCTTCACGCCAGAGAAATAGTTTAAAGCATGTATCTGCTCATGGGACTATGTGATCAGGATTTAGATACCTGTGTGGCAAATTCTCTCTCCTTGATTAAGAATACGAATTATTGGAAACGACTTCATAAACTTGACATCTCCCACTAGCACGCATCCAGATGACGATTATGAGATGAACAAAACGATCAAAATGTATGCGAGCATAGCAGGTAATGGAACCCCCGTCGTTGGAATAAGGTGAAACCAAAATAGTTGTTGTCAATTTAAACATCAACAATTAAGGTTAGCGGGGCGTGTGTAGCGATTTGGCGGATTGTCAAGGTAGGCACGTCAAGGACTATATGAGGTACCTACCTAGTTACTTGCGTCAAAAGGAATTGATTTCGTATAAACTCACATGATTGCTTTTGGTATATTAATTATCAGGGATTGAAACGCTCTTAGAGTAATTCTTCCTGGGTGAAGCCTGTAGCACATGTTCGAAAATCGAGCTTATAATAACCTTATTAATAAGATTTGAGAGGATCGTATCAATCACAACCTCATTTTGTATTATCAAACGAAGCTACTATGTCTTTAGAGGGGCAGCCAATCTAATCCGGGCGTTCAAGCCATTTGATGTTTCATTGCATTAACTGAATGGAGTATATACTCAAAATTCATTATCCCCAACACGAATCACCACAACCAGGCACTTTGGCGGAGTGGTTAACGCGATGCCCTGCTACTGTTTAAACCAGAGTCAGGCATTTCCTTCGGGAGCGAGTGTTCGAATCAATCAGGTGTCGTTTTGCTTTTACATTCTTCCATCCTGCTGCTGCATTTTTTCTATTCTCCTCAAATCTCAACAATTTTTTTTACCTTGTGTAACCTGTGTCGCTGTTTTTTGTGATCCCTGTTCGTTGTGGATCCGCGGGCCTGAATTGTATGTGGGGAGGCCCCTTTTTAAGATTCGCTTGTTTATACAAAATGCTTTAAGACAATCTTTGTTCCTAGTCATAGCAGTTGTAGGAACTACATCTAACTGAACGATCCATTTCTGTTGTAGTTCTAGAATTCGTCAGTGGATAAAGTCGGCCTTCAGGTTTCAGGTGATAGTCGTTCATTATAGAACTTTTACGTGCATAGGAAAAATCTCCGGCCGGTAATACTACTATTCTATTTCCTATGATCACAAGTTCCATCCATCTCCTACGAAATGACTACTCTGTACTTTTTATTACTTACACCACTAACTCATTATCGATGTTATTGCTATAATGTCAAAAAGAGAAGATTTAAAATGTTAACATGATTAAAAGGATAAGATATGCCTACCCCACAAAAGGGCTTTCGATTTGTGAGGGATTTAATCATTTTTGGAAGAGATTTTTGAAATTTTTGAAATTTTTGAAAGCTCTTGAGAAGGTTTACAAACGATCTACTCAATACATACATCAATTTGCTTCTGTTTTTTCGTAAATATAGTACGTTACATAATACAAAGATAGAACCCTTGAAACCAATTAAAAACTTCAAGTAAATTCTCGACTCAAACCTTGCCAAGCAATCTACCGCCCTTAGTCTGATCCAACCAGCTTTTCCCCTAAATCTAGATTTTTACTACCTCACTTAGCTCCCCCTCTTTGACACGTACCTCGGCACCATCCAAAATTCGCCTTGACATTCCAAATTATTCAACTGCCCGAAACGTCTAGATTCTTTTGGAGCTTATTACTTTATTTTGTTAATTAAATTCGAGAATAAATGGGTCGCTTCTTGAACTCATTATGCTTATTCAAAACCCTAAGTTAACGACCAATAAGCTTTGATATTGTCATATATATATGAAAAGGAAATTTATATGAAAGTTTGCATTGAATATCTTTTTGTCGATGTCATTGAAGATGTCACTACAGGGTATTGTAAAGTCAGAGTTAACGGTAGAGCAAGTTCGATGAAACGATACAAATTACATACAACATGAGCACCACCAAACATGGTCATGACTTTCATTCGTACGATTCAGAATCATCTAAAATCCTACCTGTGATATTTTCATTCTTCATTAAAATCAATGATCATTTGTAATTGTCGATATAGTAAAAACGGCCACATGACTATATTAAGCCTATTATGAAGACATCATAATCATTATCGAAGTGGATATTAACAGTAATCAGCGATGTCACAGATCAGAAGACTCGATGTTGTTTTCGAAAAGACCTCATTACAGAAGCAAGATATAGGAAACAAGACAAAGTGCTTTACTACATCACTACCGCAGATATTCAACGCAACAACAAATGCTCAAGAATTTTGAATATAGAAACAAAACGACAAGCACAAAAGATACAAACTGCCAAACAGCGATCACTTTCAAGAGAAATTAACTATACAAAACTAATTTCTGCGTCCATCACACACTTGCTCCAGCTAGACAACATCATCGATTTCACCTCTACAACTATCGAAATCAACCCTGCGGATCTCTTTATTGAGCCATTCTACAGTAGCCTCCTCCTCATCCTACAAATTTATCGAATTCTGTCAACGAAGTTCGTAGAACCAAACAATAGGAACCAAAACATTAGGCATAAGAGGTGCACATTGCCACGAACACTGCCAGGGACAAGTCGTCGAATTCAACTTCCTCCTCCTCCAGCACCGATACCTTCATCTTCTTCAACTTAGCTCTCTGCTGCGCCGCATACATCGCATCTACACTTACATAGTTTCCACATATCTCGATTCTACGATTCTACAACTCTACAATGTCATAAATCTACAATTCAATAGTCGTCAGTGAACAAGCATAGCATTCAGGATTCCATTATATGTTGGAAGGGATTTAGAATTCAAGTGTTCGATCATATTAGGATAAGCTAAAGCTTTTGATTTATACATATATGCTAGTGTGATTTAAGAATTCTTAGTATCGATGTCGTGAATACAATCATGAAACTATATTATTGATATGTAGATACTCAACTTTAAATAGTTTTATTCAAGAAATAGACAATAGCACTATACACATTACCGTTAACTTTATTATAGAGATACCATAATCGCTATCAAGGTGATACCAATAGAAATTGTATTCTCTCTGTACATGTATTCACTTATTTGCCAATTCATTCTTGTAGACTATCAACCTGCTGCAGATAATAAGAGTTTCCTGTGCGTTCTCATGCTTCCCATTCTTAAGCTTCATGAATATGCGGGTGGCTCATCGGGGCGTTGATGCACTTTGTGAGAATTACATGACTAGGGTACCTCCAAGATGTTCAATTTTTCTGATTACCCGCAGGTATTTCGAGACGACATAGCATGAGTGAACTTAAAAAGAGGACTTTTTGGCAACTTTTTTCCGGAGGAAACGTTAGTACACGCTCGAAATCTCGTTTATTCCCGTTGGTTTGAGGAGAGTACGAATGATGCCGGACCTACGATGTAGGTTCTAGTTGTCAAATCGCATTCTATCCGAAGAGCTAGATATGCATAGAATAAGCAATCCTTAAATAGGCCTTGCTGTAGGACTAGCTCCTTTGTTGTAAACTATTAATGACTTAAGGCCATGCATTCACTCTTTGTTCACACAGTTCCTAAGACTCATGAGGAGGAATTTCCCAAAAATAAATATGTTTCGCAATTGAGATATGAGAAGAAGAAATAAACCTGTTCGTGTTAAGATAATCTGGTGATGGGTTGAATAGGGGATGGCTTTAGATCTGAAAAGAACATATACTAGTGAGTATACGGACTAACGGAACGCTGCCAGAATAGACTTAGAAATATCTCTAGAAATGTAGATTTAAATATCTTGGGAATCATTATGACAATCCATTAGAGACTGAGCAATGAAAATAATTTTTTCGGTATCAAGTAATTGAAGAATGAATTTGTTAAATATTTTGAAAGTTGATAAGTGTCTCATCAGCCAATACACCCACTAGTGGTGTTGAGGCGTTGCTGAATCATCAACAAGAACTCTCAGCCCCACCTGGGCACTCACTGCAGTTCATAATTTAATAAACACAAGCAACACCTGGTCTGTCGTGACTATCTTCCTTTGCCCTCATTTCTGTACTGTCGCGATTGAGATTGTATTTATATCCGTTGATAGATAGTTCATATCTAGCTACGTCTATTGTAGTGATCAAAGACTGTTCCAGCGTCTAGTGATGCACGAGGTTGTCAAGCAGCACCTCAACCTCTTACCACAGAGCAACAACGCGATTTTGCACAAAAAGCAAGAAGAATGATCACTGCAAGCTGTGTCATACTGGCATATTATTTTCTCAGAGACCATAGAGCGCACGAATCTTCCACTCCGATTTTCTAGCACACTTGTCATTCATGCAATTTGATGGTTTAATGGGAAAGCACAGAGGTGACAGAGTTTAGACTTTGCACCATTGTGTGATAACCATTGAGTTACGAATGTTGAGCTCGTGAAGTACTTACAAACACCGATTGGCTCATTGAAAGAGAAGATATATCATAATCCTATTTGTGTTTCTTCATTGAAATTCCTGTATCGAGGTCGGAGAGCGGAGATTGGCCCAACCAACACTGTTACACCTTGACTTGAATGGAAGTACAATTTTATATTAGATTCTGGGAACTAGATAATAAGAAATATGTAGTGCCTGCGATTTTAGTGAAATCACAGGATCACAAAGGACACTACATTTTATAATCGCTCTCGATTCTCCGTGGAATTGATTTCACTGAGCCATGTTGGACATCAGCCGGCGTCATATGTTCGTCCTGCAGTGGTTTCTATGGCCTCTAATCTCTAGTATTTCTGCTCTCCAAAGATGTAACAAGAGCATCATAGCTGCGATGCTGTGAGATTGACGCGTGTAATTCCTGCCAAGTTTGAAAATCAAGATTGATAGACAACATCAATCGCGACATATGTTGTGTAAAGGAAAAGCTCTTAATATTTATATTCACTGATGATCTGTGAAGTTTCACTCTTTGAAAGTCTCATGACATAATACCGACGTATAGATATATTCTACAAAAGAGTGAGACCAATGATACATCGCTGCTGTTCGCACTTACTACCAAGCCGCCAACGGATCCGTCATAGAGATCATTCCGAGTTTCCCTGCTACTTTGGGCTATACTAGTAGTGTGGTAATTCCTGTAGGTGTCGCAAAGCCTAATACTCCTCTTGCTGCTATAGGTTGGGGATCCTTCGACGAGGTAAATATTTTTCTTTCTCATCCCTCCATTTTCTGATTCCCCATCCCCCTTCTTCCTTACATCTCACACACATATCGATCGACGACTAACAGCACGCTTAGATTCATTTGTACTACATTGGTGTCGCATACAGCAACACGCAATTACTAGAGAAGATCTGGAAACCCAATGCTGGATGGACAGATGGGCCACTCAATGCACGTGTATTCACAGCGCAGACTAACACGAGTTTCCTAACGGCATATCATGATGAAACTACGGTGGCAGCGAGCACATGGCGCGTGGCTTTTGTTTGTTCCACTGCGAACTTGCCTGTGGCGGGCGCTCTTTGCGAAGCATCAAAGACAGCGTCGCTTCCTTGGACCAACGCTGTTTACCCTTAGGTCGACAGCATTCCAAATTCCCAGGGAGATTGAGATTTGAGGCCTAGGTTATGGTGGTTGAGAGACGAGGGAGAACAAACCCTTCTCAGCTCTCACGACGGGTATGAGTCTGTTTTTCTACGCTTGAGATTTGGAATGATGGGGCTTGTGTTTATTTCTCTGGGTTCAAATCACGTGCTCTTTGTTCCTTTCATTTATTTCTTTCATCGGGTCACAGAAGCTTACATTCATTTCTTAATTTGCTTCATACGAGTCTCGAGATAACGTACTTGGCGATATTCTCATCATCTTTATCAACTATATATGATGACGAATGAATGAATGAATGAATCATTCCACTTCCATGAGCTGCAGTCAGTGAGACCCATCAATCAACAAGCCCTTCTATCTTTCCGGGCAAGCTTCCTTACCCAGAGTTCAATCTCGCCATCCAAGTAATATCAGTATTATAACTAGTATCCTCCGTATTTTGAACACGCCCTACTTCAATAATATTGAATACTACTAACCACATACTAAACCACCAAAATTTGTATATTTCCAATAATTCATTTTCCAGTTCGATATAAACCAATCTATTCCTTAAAAATGATAATTTTCAAGCTCAAAATGTCTACGTTTGAAGTTTGAATTATATAAGTCTCTATACCTTAGGTTAATATATTCTCAATATTATCACTATATTCAATGTAATTTATAGTTATAGATAGACATTAATAACTACGACAACTTACTCTTATACTCCTCAGAAACCATTCAGTTATTCTCATGTCCTGAAATTAGAAGATATTTTACTCTTATGTCCCTTAAATTCGAGGATATAATCTACAGCAAGTCACTCGCATATCCTAAAAATCACACATGTTTTTACTCTTATATCCCTTAAATTATATAATAAAATGCTATATTCTAGTAATCTCAGACTACATCCAATCCAAAAATCTATCTACCTAGCTACTTATACATACACAGGAAGTAGTAATCTTAAACTAAGTATTATCAAAAGAATCAATCTCTTTCGTATTCATTCAAGTAATATAGTATATATAACCTTAATCTCAATATCAGCTCCGATATCCCCATTCCTATCACATACTATATACCACACACTATATACAACCAACAAGTTACTCACAACACCACACCAAAATCAAAATCCAAGAAACTACCTCCCTCCCTCCTATTCCCATTCCCATTCCATCCCCAATTAACATCCACCCCCCACCTAGGCATCCTCAACATTCCACACCTCCCGCTCTTCTCATTCTAAGCACTCATTTCCTCACTCATTCCCTCACTCATTCAAGTCCTACTTTTCACTAAAACTTCTCTTTTATATTTCCTCTAGTTATGGTTTGGTGTTGGGTATCTTAACTTCTCAATCCTAATCCTAATTCTTTTCCTTCATCTTTCATCTTTTGTTCTTCATCTGCAAAAGTATTATGGTAGTGATTTTATAATATTATAATATTAAGTATATTCAATTCAATCCAATCCATCTCCTATCCCCCATCCCCTAGATCCTCATCCCTCATCTCCTATCCCCCATCCACAACCCCACCCCCCAAATCCTCATCACACCACCTTATCACCCTTCAGCGAATAAACCCCCCCCTCCTCAACTCCTCCTCCACTCGTCCACTCCTCCTCCAGTCCTTACTCCTCACTCCTCACTTCTCAATCAATTAAACATATCATATTATCCATTATCCGTTACTCATTACTCAACCCTCTACATGTCCCTCCCTTCCCTTCCTTCCCTTCCCTTCCCTTCCCTTCCCTTCCCTTCCCTTCCCTTCCCTTCCCTTCCCTTTAATTCAACAAACCACATACTACCATACCATACCATACCATACCATACCATAACCATACCATACCATACCATACCATACCATACCATACCATACCATACCATACCATACCATACCATACCATACCATACCATACCATACCATACCATACCATACCATACCATACCATACCATACCATACCATACCATACCATACCATACCATACCATACCATACCATACCATACCACATCACATCAACCTATCTACTCTCGCTACTTTACTATACTTTACAATCTAATCAAAAGCCAAAAGTTATAAACGACAATATAAAGGCGAAATTCCAATTATTCCCCATAAGAAAAAAAATCTCAAAAAGTCAGAAAGACGGATTATTCTCGACACAGAAAGAGATATAGAAATCAAGATCTAATACTATCTATACATTAGATATACGTATTCACCAGTTTCCAATTCCAATTGCAATTCCAATGATATAAAGATTAATTTAATTGTTCAATTCCATACCGCTGCGTATATTCATCTATATATATATATATATGTGTGTGTGTGTGTGTGTGTATGTATATCTTTCCTCCAGTATAGTATGTTGAAAATTGAGCTATTGAGTTGCTCACCCTCTAGTCTCAATACGAACATACAACCCCTTGACTTTCCACTTTGAACTCAACATATCAAAACATTAAACTCGTTTTAACATTTGATCCAAGAGAGATTTCACACCAAAAATGAAAATCAATCATGGTAGATTCAAATGACCTTCCTCCTTACAGAGCATCTTACCTCTTCATATCCAAACCTATCTGTCATCCAAAAACCACACATCTACCCTCCCCCATCCAACAACCCACTACCTCCTATCCAACCTATCATGCAAAACATTCTGTTTCATCAAACTCCCCACCCCAGCCATTAAGATCGCAAAACCTAGTGCCGTCAAGAACACCCCCCTAAAAGCATCCATAAAACTTTCCGTCACACCCTCTTTCCACCCCTCAGGAAGTTTATTCAATTCATCGAAAGAATCTCGAATCTTCCCAATAATCTCTTCCGCATTCGGTCTGTCTCCGAATTTTTCCCACAGATCTGATTTGAGTATATTTTGATACACTGCGCTTGCAATGGTAATACCAATTGTTGAGCCCGTGGAACGGAATGCATAGGAAGCTGATGTGATGACCGAGTGATGATCATGCGATACTGCTGAGATAATAGCTAGAAGTGTAGTTGTGAGAGTTGCGCCGTAGCCAATTCCTGTCAAGGAGAGATAGATATATATTGGCCAATCCGGACTGTTAGAATCGAGAGTTGCTAGAAGACCGGTTCCAATAACGAGCATGGTAAGTGTTATCAAACTAATTGATTTGTATTTTCCAGTTCGATTCATGATGATTCCGGAGCCGAGAGATCCGACAGAAGCTCCGATTGATTGAGGAATAAGACGCATACCAGAGGCGGTGGTAGACTCACCCCGGACTTGATAATATAACGGAACGTAAAAGATAATCATAAAGACGACCATTGTAACGAACCAATTTGTAAGACAAGCGGCGAGAACAGTACGATTTGCGAGGAGACGAACTGGGATGACGGGTTCCGAGGCGATATATAGTTCGATGTATATAAATCCAAGAAGAGAAACGAGAGAAAGGGGGAGCGAAACATAGACGAGCGGATGGTTCCAAGGTACGATATTACCACCAGAATTGAGTCCCAGGAGAAGAAGGACAAGGGTAAGAACCAGCGCGAAAGAACCCATAAAATCCACTCTCGATAATTTCGATTTCTCGCTCTTCTTGGGAGGAATATTAACCAGACAAGTGACCAAAATTCCAGAAACAATGATAAAAGGAACTTGAGCCAAAAAAGCCATTCTCCATCCCCAAGTATCATTTACCCAACCTCCAAAGATCCCTCCCAAGCCCGCACCTGTCCCATAACATATATTTCCAATTCCCTGCACCACACCTCTCTTCCTCAACGGAACCAAATCACTTCCTACAAAAGTACTTATAGCCATCAACCCACCCCCTCCACATCCTGCCACCACTCTCCCAAATATCATCACCCATTCGTTTTTCGCTAATCCGCATATCAAATTTCCTACCGCAAATAATACATTGCTCACAATCAATCCAGTTCTCCGACTGAAGATATCTGTGAGGCGACCAGAAAGCGGTTGACAAGCTGCATTTGCGATCAGATATGCAGAGGCGAGCCAGGAAAGAAGAGAGAGGGAATTAAAGGATGTGGAGATGCTGGCGGAGAGGGTAGCGATGATTGTTGAATCTAGAGCACCGAGGAAGACACCTACCCAGATTGCTCCAAGAGTAACTACTAAACGTTTGGTGCTTTGTTCGTTGGGGATGATAGTTGCTTCGGATGTGGAAGGGTCTTGGATTGCAGATTCAGATGATGGTGATTGGGAGGGTAAAGTTGTGGTATCTGCGAGGAGGGGTGTTTCTTCATCCAAGTGGTTGGGTGAAGACATTTTTGCGTGGGTGAAAAAGTCGTGTACCGTTGATTTCTTGGTTATATATCTATTGATGTATCATTGCAGCATGAAGATCAAATGAGAATGAAAAGGACAATACATCGAACTATATATTACCCAAAAATATGTAGATACAGCAGAAAGGGAAATAAAGATTGATGTTTTGTGGATAAGATTCCGAGATACCTTATCATAAATCACGCAAACAATCAATCAATTACTCACCGACACGTTAAAAAGTTAAGTTCATCTAGTATCTGATTGATAGTTGATGGAACTTCTTTCCAATGCGTTTTGTAATAACTCTCTCGTATAAAATACCACGTTGGCGATGATAACCATTTGGAGGTGGTGCTGGATTTGTGGATAATGGAAGATACTAGATAGATAGAGGAAGTCTGTTGTCCTCGTCATTATTCCAATGTTTGATGGCGCGAATGTTGATGCTTGAATTCGGATACCGGCATATACAGATATTTGGGAATAAGTTGAATAAATATATATTATTGAGGCCGATACTAATAAGTATTACTTTGTACGAGTATAAAATATACGGAATATACGGAATATACGAATTAATACAAAATATACGAAATGTACGAAATATACGAAATGTATGCTAGATGTCCATTGAGAAGTATCAACAGAACACTCATGGTTTATAAATAAATTGATTGTACATCCAAATTCCATATATTTGGGTGATCACCAGATTCATAGGTAAGATTACCTAATCCATTCATCCCTCACTCATCCCTCACTTATCCACTCATCCATCAACTCACGCAGCCTTCACAAAGCAAGTCTCACCTTCTCTTTAAATCCAAGCTTCATTGGTTGCCCAGCCACACAAATTGTTGATTGATTTCTACTGCGGAAGGTTACTTAAAATAAACAATCCTCTCCCATACCCAGCTCTTCAATCCACTTGATTCGTCAAAACCCATCGAAACCCAAGGAGCAACCAAGTTTCCTCAAAAGCAGATTTCATAAGAGAAGAAGAAAAAAAAGGCTGAGCCGTTCTTATATTATATTACAAAGGGTACGTACGAATGAGTGAGGAATACGCGTATGAAGTTGATGAGCCTCTTTTCTTCGTATAATTTAGAGTTTGCGTTGATTCATTCGCTTTGATGGTCTTGACATTTGACATCTCTATTGTTTCTGTTGTTTCTGCTGTTTCCGTGTCGTTTCCATCCTTTCACTCCATTTTGACTTTCGGTGCTTGACGATTTGTGAATATCATAACGTTACCCGCCCGCACACCTACCACACACATACCAAGCAAATATCAGACAGTCTCCAAGGTTTTACCTTCAGCCCCTCAGAATCAGAAATATACGAGGACGCACTCGATACGAGATTCAGAATACCACCATTCCATACCTATCTAGGTTATCTGAGTACACTTGGGGAAAAAACATCCACAACTTGAGCATTTGAGCATACACGTCGCATTTGAGCATTCACGTCGCATTTGACTGTACACTTTCCATACCGTCATTCCAAAAATCCAGCATTCAATAAACCGACAACATGGAATTCTCAATACATAATTTGCAGAAATATAAACTAGCTGTACATATCGTACAGTTAGCTATGGCAGTCGTCATATGGATATTAGATATCATCGTTATGCGATCAACTGCAACAGTAGATGGAAGACTTGGATGGAACTTTGGTTATGTATGTATATTTTCATTCCGCAGATGCGATGAGGGACTCGTACTGATAATGATTCCAATAGACATTCTTGGTTTTACCCGCAGTGATCTATCTTACCATGACCGTACGCTTTCCCCGGACGAGAAAATTCGCAAACCCGTATGCGCTGTTGGTGATTGATCTCGTTTGGTGTGTGATGGCTCTGTCGGCTTTTGCAGCGGTCGCAAACTGGAATTCAACCGGGAAATGTGGAAGCGGGTGTAAAGTGAGCAAGGCAGTTGTGGGATTAGGTGTTTTCTTATGGTATGTCTTGGTTCTCTTGATTCGCATGATTGGAATTCTCAACAGTACATTTCTAATCTCAAACCACAGGCTCTTCTGGATTCTCTCAACAGCAATGTCATTCTATGGTCTGGTGTACTACAAGAGAGAAGGATATCTTCCCGGCGCATCCAGAGCTCCCAACAACGCAGCCATGATCGATCCCGATAAAGAAGCTTTCTCCACCGCTCCCCACGATGACGAATATGCACCAGTTCATAATGTCGAAGAGCACGAAGAGCATGAATTACACGATGATGGATATCCCGGCGGAAACTTCGTAGGCAGAGTTCACTCACCAGATTACGAACCTTCGAGTTACGGAGGATCATATGCACCTACATCGACGGCTCATCATGATGATTTGGAAGCTTCAACCGCGTATACCGGATACAGTGCGAGTGGATATGGCGGATCACAAAATTCGAGGACGGGGCGAGCGCAGTTTCCCGAGGGAAATTATGGTAATATCCCAGTCATTGGTGAACCATGAGAAACTTGATTATTCAAGAATAATTGAGTAATACATTATACATTATACATGAACGGATAAACGGATGGATGGCACATGATAGATGATTTCACATTGGCGTTTCTGGTTTCCTCCTGTTATGGTTTCGATACTAATGGATCCCGTTTGAAAGTCTCTGTATATCGTGTCGGATTGGTAGATGGATTGGTTGGGGAAGAAACAACATACAGGTACATTTGAATGAGTGCATTTAGCATATATCACATGTACCAGATGGTATGAGAACAACACAAGTTCATCGGGAGGAGACATGACTTGCATATGTATCTTCGGGGGTTTTAGGAGCAATTGGTGGAGGACTTTACTTGGCATTAGCATGGGTTAGGATGAGAATGAGTATGAGGATGAGTATGAGGAATGACGGAATTTGATTGAAGGACGATTCGGAACATTTGTTATATAGAAATATATTTTGTAGACGACAATGAAAGGGAAATTGAAATGTGTTGTTGAGATGTTGAGATGTTGTGAGGTACTATCTAGTTAGTAGATATGGCGTCAGTACCTAGGTAGACTAATGGATAAAGTACCCGACCCCTTCACGAGACCTCACGCTCTTTGTTGAATACCGAGTTACTACAGTAGTTACAGATGGGTAAGAATCGTAAGTGAGAAGTGAGGAGTGAGTGAGGAGTGAGGAGTAAAGAGTGAGAAGTAAAGAGTGAGTTTATCCACGGGCCGATGATACATACAGGTGAATTAGATTGGTGCCCAATGATATAATTTAACAATGGTAAGTAGGTAGGTAATGTGATACAAATTTGAAGGGAAGAAAGAAAAAAGGGAGGAAAGGGAAGAGTTTGATAATCGAATGGGAATTGGTTGGGAGGATATGTGGATGGATGGCTGGATGGGGGGAGGGTAATATATAGAATTGTAGATATTGGGTAGGAAGGTATGAACTCTTAGCTATTAAGAGATAAATCGCTAAGTAGCTAGGTAATTAGGTAGCTGTATATATGTATGTATATATGTATATATAGAAATAGTAGATAGAATATAAATCTAAGCGGTCAGAGAGATTTATGTTTATGGTTTTACTTGCTTGCTTGTTTACTTACTTGCTTGCTTTTCTCGAGACTCTTTACCTACTAGGTACCTAGTATTTACAAAGTACTCTCTATGATACTAATGCGATACTTTCTCAACGCCTTGGTTTGTTGGAGGGGTATATTGTCTATACATCACCACATCCTAATTATATATTATATATTACACACTGCATCACACATCCATCATACGAAAAAATAATAGGAATCACAAGTAAAATCCAATATCAGCATGCGAAAGGAAACGAAACGAACTTGGAGTAATACCTACTACCTAAGAAGTGGTATTAGTAACACAAAGCCCCACTCTCATACATCGATATCATTGATATCGATACTGTAATTGGTGGTCTTGGTTTTCACGAATGTCATACTGCATGAAACGAACGAGAAACGAACGAGAAGGTGGTGAAATGGCGGGGTTACACGGGTTGGATGTGTACTAGGTAGATAGGTACTAGGAGACTAGGTGGGTAGTAGGTAGGTAGGTTGTGGAGAGGAGGAATGCATGAGAGATGAGAGATGATAGGTAGTAGTGATGGTAATGGCTTTTTGATGGCTGGATGGTTGGATGATTGGATGGATGGATGGGATGGATTGGATGGCACCCCACCAATCCAACATTTGTGGTTGAGTGAATGAATGGATGGATGGATGAATGAATGACTTCTTTCTTATCCCACCTTCTTTCTGTTTTGCTTTCTTGTTCTTTCTCTATTGTTGAATTTGAATTTGACTTTGAATTTGTTTAAAGGAAAGAAGTAAGACAAATACTTTACTTTACTTTGTTTACGAAAGACTTCACAACACCACATATTACCTGGTTCTCTTGATTATTCATTGAGATACTTACACAACACATACAACACAAGAATATCTTCATCCATCAAGATTTCAATCCAACAACATCACTTCCAAATAGCAAAAATGGCTCCAGTCAGTTTTTTTCCTTTTTTGCTCGTCTCATCTTCCCCTGTTATATCACATATACATATACATATAAATATACATATACACATATACACATCTCCCCCTCACCCCTCTACCCCGCACCAACTAACACCCCACCCTAGATAACCACCCTCCTCTTCGACTGCGACAACACACTCGTACTCTCGGAATCTCTTGCCTTCGAAGCCTGCGCCGATCTCGCCAATGAAATTCTCGAAGCCCGCGGCATCAGCGACCGCTACACGGGTCCTCAACTGCTCTCTGAATTCGTGGGGCAGAATTTCCGCGGCATGATCAGCAGTCTCAAAAGCAAATACAACTATTCGATGAGCGATGCGGAACTCGAGGGGTACGTGAGCAAGGAAGAAGACAAGGTGATTGCGAAGCTCCAGGCGGCGTTGCAGCCCTGCGAGGGGGTGGATGAGGAATTGGTGCGGCTGGAGAAAGATGGGGGGTATTTGATGGCGGTGGTGAGTTCGAGTGCGTTGCGCCGATTGAAGGCGAGTGTGGAGAAGGTGGACCAGGCGAAGTATTTTGGAGATCGCATTTATAGCGCTGCGACGTCGTTGGAGAAGCCGACGAGTAAACCGGATCCGGCGGTGTATTTGCACGCGATGGAGAAGTTGGGGGTCAAGCCGACAGAGTGTGTAGCGATTGAGGATAGTAGGAGTGGTGCGACGGCGGCGGTGAGGGCGGGGATTTATACTGTGGGCTATGTGGGGAGTTATGAGGAGGGCGAACGCAAGGAGATGGAGGAGGTGTTGAGGAAAGCTGGGTGTAAGGTTTTGATGAGGGAGTGGAGGGAGTTTAAGGGGATTTTGGAGAAGATTCAAGAGGGGGGATTGGAGAATTAGATGGGGGTGCGTTGGGGGGTGGGGAGAGGATGCTTGGGAATAGGGTCTGAGATGTTAGATGTGAGAGGAGAGGAGAAGAGAGATGAGAGATGAGAGATGAGAGATTAGTATTTCTTTACACCAAAAATTTCCTTAGAGAGGGAAGAAACAAAGTATCACCTAAAGTTTTTGAAAGACCAAAAAAGAGATCGAGAATAGGAGATATGATTACGCTGCGTAGTTTATCAATGACATGAATTTCCAAAATTATTATCATCACATTTCCCTACCTAGTAGGTATCTCTTTAACTTCCTGATCTGAGAATTCCGATCCCCCTACTTTTCCCATTCTGTCTCTTGCTTCCTTTCATTCTTTCCCTTTCTCTCTTTCTTCTCTTCTCTTTTTCATTCCCTCCCTCCTTACTTTTTTTCTTTCTTTTTTTTCTTTTCTTCTTCTTCCTCTTCAATACATGATAAATGTTTCTTTCGCTACGCTCCGAAACTTAAGCGTCGGGTTTTACGGAATTTTTATATAGTGTATATTCATTATATTTTCTATATCTAGGAATTCAATTTATGTATGGTTATTTGATTTGTATACAAGTATAGTTATATGATATCTTTTATTATAAGTTCAATTAGGTATCTGAAAACAAAGAATAAGCTTTACTTTTACTTTCGATCTTTCGATATCAATGGCTTATTATTAGATAGGTACTGAATATTAGATGTTCCGAAATACTGGCGAGTTGATAACTATCTATCTCACTGATATCTCGTTATAGGGTATGAGTAGGTAAGATTAATTATTTTTTGATCTAGAATTCATAATTTGTAAGCTTATGTTTATCTATATGTAGGTACCTACTCGTTACAAGTTAGTGGAAACTTGGTTGCAGCTGTGAGTTGGGATGTGGGGATATGGGATGTTGGGATGTTGTAAGTAAGTTCTTGAATTTGAATGTTGAAAGGATGGTTGGTTTTGGTTATTTTTGTTTTTTATATGTGGATGAGAGGTGTGTGGATGAGAGGTATGTGGATGGATAAGTATCTGGTTAGCTTGGAGGTGAAGGATTGGGGATGGGGATGAGAGAGTTGGGGATGGGGATGGGGATGGGGATAGGAAATGAAATGAGGGATAGGGAATAGATGATTTGAGATGAAAAGGAATAGGTTGCGGATGAAGGTTAGGAGGGGTGTGGGATCTTGGGTTGGTGATGATGATGAGATGGAGAAGGATGGGGAAGAGAGAGTTGGTTTTTGGAGAGGGGGGTGGAGATGAGAAGAGGAGAGGAGAAGAGTAGAGGAGAAGAGGAGAGGAGAAGAGGAGAGGAGAAGAGGAGAGGAGAAGAGGAGAGGAGAAGGGGAGAGGAGAGCAGGAGAAGGGGAGAGGAGAAGAAGAGAGGAGGAGATGGGAAGGGGGAGAAAGAGATGGGTAAGGAGAGTAAGGAGAGTAAGGAGATAAGCTGACTTGAAGAGAAGATGTGTCAAGAAAAGTCTACCTTTGCCGAGAAGGTAAAGAGGGTGAGATGGAGATGGAGGTGAAAGTGAAAGTGTGAAACTTGGAGTATATAAAAGTAAATAAGTTTCCGAAGAAGTAAAGAAGATGAAATGAAGAGTTTGTGATGAAAAAGAGAATGAGGGTCAGCATATGGGTTAAGTATAATTAGGATGCATGCATGTCAATTTATAATTATTTCAATATCTCAATAGGTACTAGGTATGTATAATAATATTTTGTTTTTGCATTTTATTTTTAATCTTTTTTTGTGTTTTATTTGTTTTATAGAATAATCAAAAGATAAACCCGCTATTCCTGAAACTCCACTCTAGCCAGTGTATGAGAGACAAGTAGACCAGAAAGTAAAACGAAAACAATGCTTCAGAGTACAAGATCTCTCGAGCCTAAAAATTAGAAGAGAAAATAGAAACCTATAGCCGCAACCCACTGCGCCCCGCAAACGCTATCCCAATGAATATCCCATGAATATCCCATGAATATCCCATGAATATACCAATGAATATATCTCCATATCGCCTGGGTATCTATCTATAAAACCGCACACCAAACTGTATCTATCTATAAAACCGCACACCAAACTCCACCAACCCCTCCCACATAACCCAAAGACCTCTATAACCTAAAGATCTCTGAGCGCGCGCAACTCCTCAACCTGCTTCATCAATGCCTCGTTTTGCATTTTGAGGACTGTATTCTGAAGTTCGGTGACTTCTCTCCGCAAAGTCGCAAGTACATCCGCGTTATTAACAGTGGCATTATCCGCAGTCTTGTTTCCTGCTTCCACACTTCGCTGAATGAGGCGCTTGATTTTTTCATCATCAATCCGGGATGGATCGGTTGCTTTAAGCGCCATCTCAGTCATTTCAATGTAATACGCAAATTGGGAGGAAGCTTGTGCTTTGAGTGTGCGGATTTCCTTGCGTAATTCTGTGTTTTTGTCGGATTGCTCTTTGGTTGTTTGTATTAATCTTTCTACGTCGTCAATTAAACATGGGAGTTTGCTGGAATAGTCATTTCTTTCGGGTGGCAAGATCCTCCAAAAATTTGCCGTGTTTTCTTAATATTCGTTGAATTTGGAGATCGCTTACATCTTCATCGAGGGTTGCTAACTGGCTGTGATTTTCATCGTCATCGTTGTCACTGGGATGATATGAGACCACTGATTCATTGTCGAAATTATCAGGGGCCTCGATGGATTGTCGAGGAGTTTCTTCAGCAAGAGTGGCGGAATCTGTTTCTTGTCTGTCGATTGGATCTTCCTCTTGGGGGGATGCGACGGGAGAGTTTTCATTCGAGTTTTGTTCTCTGCGTCATGAGTAGAGTCCTCTGATAAAGCAGGAGAAGGAGCATACGAAGAGAGGATCAAAGGATCAACAGTATCCGAATCAACGGAGCCATGTCGGGCCTCGAGGGAGTGAAAAACTTCGGCGCGAATGGTACGCTGTGGTGATGGCTCAAAATATTGCCATGGTTAACATTGTTTTGAGGCTCCATGGAATAATTATTGTTCGAGCTAGGTGATGATTCGTGAGATCTGAAACCAGTGAATAGAGTGGCAAGTGGGGGAAGTTGCGTTGAGGTTTGTGGGCGATATCTGTAATTGGGAGCAACAGCGGAATTGGGTGAACTGGCGCCACGAGTAAGAGTAGAGACCGGCTTCTGTTGAATTACCAAACCAGGTGTGCCTGAATAATTGGGTCCATACGCCGTCTCAGTAGTAGCGTATTCAACCTCATATGGGAATGTTGCTAGAGGTCTGTTGTTATACTCATCGCAGCACGTCCTCTCGGTGTTGAAGGTGCTGCTTGGTAAACCATTCCAGCATAGATATCCGAGTTTGCGGGAGTTCTAGAATTGTTTATCTCGACATATCCATCAGCAGGAGTGAAGCTGCGGTTGCCACTGGGGTAGACTCTATTGCGAGAATCTTGAAGTGTCTGGCTTGCTGACCCAGCAGTGGTCTCATTGTAGAGTCCGAACGGTCGTGTTGCACTATACTCACGTCTCTTAGAAGGTGGTGCAAAGAAATCGTCATCTTCTTCGAATGGTCGCTTTCTGCTAGAAACCTTTGAATGTGTCCATGAAAAATTCGAGTTGTTCATGCTTCCCTGCTTTTGGAGTAAATCACTTGCAATGCTTGGAAGCATGGGTTGTCGTGGTTGCATTGCAAAAGGAGTTTTGTGGTCTGGCACTATAAGAAGTGAAGTGTTCCCGATAATGCATTCCGGAGATTGATAATCGGGGAGAAAAGAAGGGCCCGATGTTGGGGTTTGAAGTTGGGGTTGATAGTGAGCATAAAGGGCGCTTGGGGGATTGGAAGAGCTTGGGTTAAAGTTTGAGATTCCGGGCGCAGCTTCAGCAGAGCGTGGATTGTTAAAGTCTACGTGAGCAAGCCTTCGCTTGCAGGAGCATATTCAGGAGATGAGCTCAATTGGCGTTCAGGTCCTGGTCTTGCCATAGCTGTAAGTGGTTTCTTGAGGTGGTAGTTCGTTGCCATGCCCAAGAGCGACCTGTTGGCTTTCCACGAGACATTCCGGGAATTGGAGCAGCGGTCTAAATACTATTAGCTTCAACTGTTTGGGGAAACAAGGAGAGATAAACTTACACTGGTTACAGAGACATTGTCTGGTCCATCTTCAGAGCCATCTCTCTCACCTAGGATTGGGCTTCTGGCAGGAAAGTAATTTCTCGCATACGCGAAGTTTCTCTGGCCAAGAACGGGGCTTGAGACTTTTTGGTTTGTGTATGACATCTTAGCTGTAGCTATAAATGACAAGTGATCTATTGATTTGTTTGGTCGTTTCGTGGCTAATTTGTACAATACGAAATGACGTATGTAAATCTGTATGGGAGAGGATTAGCTTTGCGACATGTGGAAGCAAATATAGAATCGACTTTGAAATATTATATGGAAGATTTGATTTTGGATGTCGAGGAAGTAAGAGTGCTGGGATGGAAAGATAATACTTACAAGTGAACCTGAGTGTCTCCTAGAGAACTCTGGTTATTACTGTATTCGGACGAAGTTGTAGTAGATAACCTAAACTTAAGTACTCTCAAAGAGCTTTAGTTATGACAATATCTAGAAAATGGTTGTAGTAGATAATGTTAGATGTTGTTGTGTGGGAAAGAGGTTGTTGTTGAATCTCTGTCAAGAAAGTTGTCGAAAGGTTGAAGAAGTTAAGAAGTTAAGAAGTTGAAGTAGTTGAAGAAGTTTTTTCAAGAGTTGAATAGTAGAAAAGTAGAAGAGGATGATCTTAATAACTAAACTCAAAACTCGTCTACTAGTACTAGTACAGTAGTACTACAGGTATCTAGCGTCAAGTGTCAATGTTTTCGATTCACTTGGCGGAATTTGGCGGAATTTGAATAGTTGTAGGTAGAAATGAGTTGGTAGAAATGTAAGGTTTGGTAGTAGAATGTTGGAAGTTGAGTAGTGTCAGTATGTAAAATCTTACTGAAAGTACTTTGTATTTTTGAGAAACCAGTGTGCAAGTTGAGAAACTATATAGGAAAGTTTCATAATCGCAATACAGTCAAAAGCCGCTAGTGTTCGCTAGATGTACTGGTCGACCGTAGGTACTATGGTTCAGAAATGTTATTCATCATAGTACGGTGAATGGTACGGCGATTGGTATGGTTCATGTATTGGCGAGACTCAATTGATTGGTGGAAGACCGTACATGTAGAGCGACGGTTGGGGAGTATACCCTTTTCCCAGAAAGGATTGGGCATTGGACTATACATCATCACCATGACAGGACAAAAGAGACGATGTCCTGCCTGCGCACATGTGCAAATAATATGAAGTTCTTTGCCATAAAGAATTATACTCTGGTCAATCGTATTGTCTGAAATGTGCGTAGGACTTTGTAAGCTTTTGTTCATTATGGACTCACGAATTCACCTCAGATATTAAAACACCATGCCAGTTACTTTCCGACACTGAATTTATATGGGAAGCCAGGATCTGAGAAGATATATCTCCATATCGATCGTGGATTCGAACAACACCCTCTACAGCTAGAATGGTAGATTAATTCAATCGATCAATGTTTCGAGTCCAATCTTGAATGAGCATGGCCAAGATCCTCTGGCTCAGTGAAGAGAGCATATATGCAAGAATTATATCACAAATAGATAGATATATTGGGATATATCATCAAGACATACATAACTTCAATCACCCATCGAAACTATCCATGTCGTTACAATGTGGATATGTGGCTTTTTCTGTCCAGGATGTGATTCGCAAAACAGATTCCCGTCATCCAATGAAACGATTTCCATGTGACTCAAAAGCATTTGTTGCACGTCTGAAAAGCAGGGTGCTTACTTTCGATTTTGGCTCCCTCTATACCTTGAGCTCACCTGCAATGAATTATGCAGCTTTGCCACACGCAATGGGTAAAACTTCGGTTGGACGCTCTTTCTATCCACAGCATACACTACGTAGGTAGGAATGTCCCCAAAAGCTTTTAGAATCGTGTTTGTTATATGTGGCAGTTCTGCCCACTCATAAGTCCACGAAGAGTAAGACATTCGTACCGTTAGCACCACTACCAATCAAAACCTGTTAGAACGATCAATTCCCTGCATGTGTAGCTATGGAACCATTTCTAGGCTTGGCCTTGAACGATCGTCGGAAGCAAACCCTAACCCTGGGAAATTATTTCCTGACGAGATCAACTTGGGATGGATATTATTGGCGCATTCCTAGATGGAGATTTGAGTTTGTAGTTGTGCTTCGTCGAAAAAACGTATCAAAAGAATTTGCGCTAGCGTTCTACGAGTCATTCTTTTTCCCCTTTGAGAACATGAATTACTACTAGGTAGTCATACCAAGGTATCTAGGTAGGTAATAGTACACTTCTGTCATGTGATGCACTAGAGAAAGCTAACATCTTCCTCATAATCAGGGAATTCTTCTCCACGTCGTCCGTTCCACATACATCTGCACAATCCCACAATCATTATATCTCCATATCAGAACTGTTTATATTTAAGATACCTACAATTAATCATCATAGTATCCTCAATGTCCCCTAGGTCTATTTGTAGCAGTAAATTCAGCGGATTCTTAGGACTTATTAACATTACCGGAGGTTCATTTTTGACCTATAGATATTTCTCGCTGTATGTACTGCCTCATCATAGTTTTTCACAAATCCCTTCCAAGATCTTATCTTCAGGTCGCTGACTAGACTTCTGACAGTTCACGAGAATCGGAATATCAACGAAAGATCCGGGAGAAAAATAGCATTGCACCGTCATCATATACGAAAACGTTGTGACAATGTCTTCACCTTTTCTCAAATTCGGCAAATTGATGGAGAAGACTTGGATTAGTATCCCGATTGCGGCCTTCGTTTTGGGATTGCTATATGTTAATAATGGGATGTAAGTAAACGCGAATTTCCTGTATTTCTTGCTCGAATCAAAGAACGGATGCATATGATTGCTTTCAGCAATGACTAATTCAATATACAGGGCAGAAGAGATCAGGCAACTGAAGATAATTAACGAGGAAAGAGGTCAAAAAGAGGCAGGAGTATCGAATCTTGAAGATACACGGAAATAGGATGGGAGAATCTGATGTATGGGAGAAAGGGTTGTAGAGATAGAAATGAAGAGAAATGGAAGAATAACCAATATCGGGAAATCAAGCATGCATGATAAATCACAAAATTGACTGGGAAACTCGAAAGTAAGCACCCCTATCTACGATCTTGCCATAAACAATGTGAAAGTTGATACTTATTTTGTTCAAGCGGAAAATTCTTAACACCTTGCGTATAGTTTATTGGTACCTTGGGTAGATGGAACGTCAGGGAGAGGGAAAGCGCAATGGGTTCATTCAATTTCATATATTGTCAGAGAAAAATGAGGCTCGTATCAACTGAACGACATGCAGGAGTTTCCACGTAGACTGATAATTTGCGTTCTTTGGAATCCTGTAGTGTACAATTGTCTCTATCAATCTCTCTTTGCCTGTACGATCTCAGATTTGGGGTGGTCATGATCGGTTCTCTTGAAAAATACATGCAGACATGCACATAGTTCTTTCCTTCTCCGCGTCAATTTGCAACTAAGTAGCTTATCGCGACTTCCAACTGAAGATATAGTTCTCATGGCAGTAAACAAATGCCCTTATCTTCCCATCTTCTGTTCTTTTCTCTTTTCTTCTCTTTTTTTTTCTCCTCACCCCATTAGCGATATTCAGCCATTTATACATATATAATGTTTTTTAGCAAGCATCTTTCCTGGTTCGCTAACCTTGACACAGCGTTCACCGCCCTGGGGGATGGGGTGAACTGGATTGAAAAGCGGCAAGAAGCTCATCGGAAGGCGATGGATCGACTGTCTGAGGAACGAGCTGCAAAGCTCAAGACTCGCAGTCCGAGACGTCGTGTATACGCTGGGCCTGGTAAGAGATCCTAGTGGTCTCTTGTTAGAGCGCTCTCAAGACAGTTCCCTCCAGGGGAATATCCTTTAAAGGTCTTCCGAGCGGCTTTCCTTTGTCTTTCCTTTTCTAAAAAAAAAAAAAAAATTTGAAAAAAAAAAGAATGAGTTCCCTGCCCACCAAGGCTGGGAGGATTCTCAAATAACAATTCAAGGCTGGGACTCTGGTTTTGTTTTATTCGTGTTTGTTTTGGTGGTCTCATAGTTACTTTCGGCGTGGAGCATTTCCGGTGTCGTTTGTGTTTGCTTTCGGTGTCAGTTCGAGCTTTGGTACGATGTCCAGTCTGCTTGTACATAGTTTTGACCTTCTCTAACCCTTCTGTCATTGATTTCAATTTGGCGTTGATGCTTGTTTGAGTGTGGTGCAGTGGAGTATTGGAGCTTGCAAGCTGAGATGGAGGATTAGGATAGTGTCTTAGTGGCCTGGGTTAGTGTGCAAACTTGTGCGGTTGTGTGGCTTGCCAAATCAAGAATCAAGACTTGGGGTTTGCTATACGAGCAATGCTTGACGCAATATCGATGAACACAACATTCGCTCAGTTTCGATGGTTCGCCACACTTGTCGCATTACATTCCCTGACACCAAAGATATTACCGGAGGAGCAAGCAAGAAAGTCAGGTTGTCGGGGCTCATAAACAGGATACAGGACTTTGTGGTCGTGTATTTGTGACGGGATTTCCTTCGATCGCTATTTTTTTCGTGTTGTTGTGGTCGGAGGCGCGAGAGAGTGAAGGCTTTAGGTCAAATTTTGGGGCGGAGTTTCACAATCTTGGTCATGTTCCTACTTTGTTGCTTGATTCGATCGCTTGGAAATAGCAGTTTGGATTTCGCACTTGCATTCAGCTTTTTGTGGTGCTTGGATTGGTGCTTGGATTGGTGCTTGGATTGGTGCTTGGATTGGTGCTTGGATTGGTGCTTGGCTTGGTTTTTTTGGCATTGCAGGAGTCAGAATGGACGCTCAAACCAGGAACTCACCAAAGTCTCTTCCTCCCTCATTGTTATCAATGTTAACAGCTTCGATTTGACTGTTGCTTTTGGGTATTGAATGGTTCACATCCACATTCACCGGTTTCATCATTTCGGGAAGGAATACCACCGATCTTGTCTTTATGAACATAATGTTTTTGTTCTCGGGCTTGAGTGGTCGACCAGAATGAAACACCCAGCCTAGCCTCTATTGATTTCAACATCAGATAAAACCTCAATCCTTATAGCGGTATCCTGGACCTATAGTCAAGCAAGTGGCCTACACGACAATCTATTGCTACTTTGTTCATGGTCAATATTACTCAAACATTGCCAGCCCTATGGATATTCACATCAAAGCCCGAATTATCAAAGGAAACTGTTCATGTGGCAACATAACTTTCAGTCGTATTCAAAGTCAACATCTTTCGCAGCATCGACACCTACAAAAATCAAAACCCGTACAAGTCCTCAGCTTCTCGATTATTCATACGATCTGCATATCGCTACAATGTTATGTTTTATTCATTGTTTATGCAATCAGAAGTATGAATCATCAAATGAAACCTCAGAATCTGATTTGAACGATGGGTTATTATAGAGTGGGATCACTGGCAGGAACGAGCAAGAGCTTAATACGAAGTCTTCTTTTCCGGGTTTGATCTACGTACAGCACCTCACTACTCTCATTTCAGTCCATGACTACTAGTAATCATATCTTATGGTAGTGAGATGACGTGTTGGAAGAAATGAGCGTGGAGCAGGGAAAGTTGTAGTAGTTCCGTTGACGAATCGAGTTACTTGAGACATATAAGAGGATACCCTATGTAAATATCACAAAGTTTTAGCCACAAGAATTCATTCTATTTACGCTCATACAATTAATCTTTCTGTAAGATCATATGTCAACTCTCATGAGATCTATAACATCTTTTGCAGCCCTGGTGACTCAAAGACACGTGCAAAAAAAATAATAATTGGAACTGGGATTCAAGCTTCAAGATCGAATTTTGAAGTGGATATCTTCCTATATGTATGAGCCGCGACACATTTTCAGGAAATTTTCATACTGATGGCTTACACATGCGTATATCTTGATATACGTATTGACGTTGTATGCTCTGTTTCTTGCACTGGTGCTTGAAAATCAAAATGAAGAGCGAGGAAGGAGAATTACCATCCAGGAAAGTCTCGAGACAATATTGGCGCTAAGTTATCGTCGTTCGTCTCATCATTTTGAAAGAGCAGTCAAAATAGGAGTGTCTGCTTCTTCTCTTTCCAAGTTCCGCCTATGTATATAAAGATCCACGACAACTGCGACTTTTTATATGTGCCTTGGAAATGGCAATAGCCATCTCAAGAGGGCATATTGCATGTCCTTATCTATTTTTTGTTAAGTTGACCTCAGTGATTTCTTGTTGTGACATTGATTGACTTTGTGAAAAGTCAGAAACGCATATGCAAGGAAGAGGAAATCAAGACAGATAGACTAAATCGTTGACAAGGAGCTGACGAATTTGATATCTTGGGTTCGCCGCCTGTGGGGAGAAAAGAGGGAAAATGGCAAGTGGGGCCGCAGGTATCGAAGGTCTTGATGCGGAGGATATCGCCCTCACGGAGACCTTCAGACTCGACTACGAATAGAGGGATAAAACTGAGAAAGTTTGGACTGTACAACTTATCATTGATCGAAAAGGAGGCCCTTTTCGCTCCTCACTGCAGACGTTAAGCAGAACTGATCGACTTACCATATTCCAGTGGTCGAGTTCGTACGACCGACTATGAGTGTCAGTCGATAGGTCACAAGCAGATAGGCTCGCTCAACGTGCAGGAGAAGGGGAACTTCACATGACATAATGTCAAGTCAGAAATTCGGGGGACTGTGTTGTTTTGACTTATGTGGAAGTAGCTGGAACCATTCTATAACATTTGAAGGCTTGTCTTGATATGAATGAGTAGAGAAGTCTGAGAATGAATTATCTAACCTTAACACTTAGAAAATCTGAATATTATTGTAAGATTAAAAAAGGTTACATGTATACAAACGCTTGTATAATTCCTCCAAATACCTAGGTACATCTAACACAATTACAATAGATTGAGTCTAACTTGCTCGACGAGAGCAACATATTCAGGACTTGTGGGCAATGTTTACCTAGTATCTACTCTAAAGTTTGAGTGAGGTTAAACATCTCGCCTAAACTTGCTTTATCTGTTGAGCTTTTCCTGCCCCACCCTACCCCACTGATTGAAAATCTTTGACATTTAGTGGTCAGCCCCATATATTATATCTATTTATAATTTTTTAAAGCAACGCTCTCCCATCAAATAACCAGGTCGCTTAGCTCAGTTGGTTAGAGCGTGGTGCTAATATCTGTTCTGTTCGTTCAGATAGGTTTGGCACGCCAAGGTCGGCGGTTCGAAACCGCCAGTGATCAAATTCTGATGTTTTTTGGCTTCTGAGGTTTGAATATTGCAAATTTTTGGTATTTTTGAACATGCCAATCGCTTTTTGTGGTATGTTGTACGATAAAAATGAAAGTCATTCTGCTCTGCCATACATTCTAGGGGGCAATGATTAGGTACCTAGCCTGGGAAGCATATTGTGGCGCCAATGTGAATGTGGCTCAACTAGCCAGCCCTCTCAAGCCACAGTAGGTATTTTCAACAAACCTCACCAAGATCAATCCAGCTTCCCCTGACATTGTGTTTTTATATAACATGAACTCCATAGGTATGGATATATATCCAATTAAAATCTGTAAAACGCACCATTTTTCATATAGATGACGAGCAACAAAATTTTCAGTTACATGAATGTTAATTCTCCAGGACCGTATGGATATTGGATGGATCTAGCGACACACTCTCCACCTACATGCAGCGACTCCAGATAATAAAAGTGAAGTTTATATTGGAGATGGAAAGCACTTGATCTTATCCATCTTCATTAGCTGGCATAAGAACTACCTACATACCTTGCAGACCTTCGCTTGTGTTTCTGATACCAATCTCATCTATATTGGATGCTTTGGAAAACATACATCGTTTGGTTCTCTCAGAACAATGACTTTAAACGAAACGAAAACGAAATGGGATTGGATAATTCCTCTAAAAATGAGATGAAAGCTATGATCTAGAAATGTGAAATTCAATAGCGTATACTTCGGAGTCGACAGTATCAGTATTACTTATCATAACATAAGTGTGATGCTACAACTCGTAATCTTTCGGTTAATATTCCTGTTCCTTCCTCCTTCTTGAGATGATACAGATTGATCATGAAGTGATATGAGGAGAAAGTTCATAGAATTAGCATCTGGGAGAATAATCGAGTCGGGTAAAGAAGGTATTTTTAGAGGAGTATATAAGAGATACATACATGTTGGAAAATGAGAGGTTTTCAAAAAGTGACGAGATACTCAGCATCTCTCACTCATAATGGTCGTCATACAAACCTCTCCTCCCAGAATGTAAGAAAAACGAACCCTTTAGACTCTTGACTCTTAAAGCACAGAACTTTAATCTTAGTGTTTATATATCATATATATATACATACATATATCATACCACACACCATCTTCAACCCCCCCCCCCCCCATCGAATATCAAATATCAATCCAACAACCCATCCAAATCCTCCACCGAATCCCCCTTTCCCCCTCCTCCCTTCCTCATCCCCAATACACATACAATACACACAACCAACTCCTAATTATTCTACACAAGCCAATCAAATTCACAAACCAGATACTCCATCCACCCAAGATCCAGAAATTTCTGTATCTGTATCCCTCTCTAGAATGTAATTGTTTACCAATATCATATTCTCAGATTTCATTCCAACTTTCAAAGTTATTTCAAGAGATTTATATACAAAAAAAAATTACAAAAAAGAAGATATATTCAGAGTAAACAGTTTAAACAGAAAAAGACGAATCATCATAAAATAAAAACTCCTCATCAATCAATCCATAATTTCTATAAAAAAACGCCAGCTACAACTGGTGGTATGGTATTATATGCACATAAAAACACTTTCCTCCCCCCTTCCATCCATCCCTTCCCTCCCATCAGACCCATCTCCTTTTGTCCAGTAGTCAGAGTCAAGACTCGCCTGCCCAACCATTCATTCATATCATTATCAATCAAGATCTAATCCTCCTCTGCCCATTCCTTTAACCCCGAGCCAACTTTCCATTCGTTCGCACGATTGCACAATCACACACTAGCTCACAACCTCGTCACCTATTCCATATGCCCCTCATTAAGCACCATCTCCAACACGATCTGGTTCCCCACAATTTCCGGATGTGCCATTGCCAACTTCAACGTCCTATTCATAGCCCCTCCCGCGCCACCCATCGGATTCATAGTAGCCATAGAATTTGCGCCTGCTCCCTGAGGGTTTGTACCCGCATCAAGACATCTTACATCACTACCCGCAATAACTTGTCTCAATCTACCATTCTCTGCATTCCTCACTTCGACAAAATCGCTATCGAAGAGTACCAAGTAGGCACCATACATAGCTGCCGTTTTAGCTCTTCCTACGAATTCCATGATGACGGATCGAGATACTTCGCCATGTTTATCGACATAGACACCACATTCCGCATAACATAGAAGGAACTCAGCATCAGAAAGCCTGAACATACCTAGAGGTCTTTGACCTTGGAGTCGAGCGGCTATGGATGCTATATTTTGATTTTTGGTATCTGGGATACTCATTGGTACTTTTTTGTCGAGGGTCAAGAGTTCAAATCCTTTTTGAGTCGAGATGGCAATGTAAGATTGGAAGAGATTGATGGTGAAACATTCGGTTGGAATATAGAATTCGTCGAATTCACGGAAAAATTCAGTATTACCACCGAAACGTTTACCAAAAAGACGCGACTTTTTCTCCGAGGATTTTTGAACAACTGGCTCTAGAACTTTGAAGACGGAGTGAAGACTCTCCTTTTTCTTGTAGAAGACTAGGGTTCTTTCTTTCATACGAGCTGTAGCGAAGAATGATACGTCGCGAGCACCGGAGAGCTTTTGAGGTGCTCGTCGAGATGAGTCTGTATTGGTCCCAGGAAAGTTTGAAGCAGGAATGATTACGTCGAGATGATATGCAACCAAAGATTTGTCGGCAATGATGATGCACAGGGAGAAATCTTCGAGAACGGCGATTTGTGTAACTTTGGGCATTTGAATAGTCCTATCAAAATTAGCTTAAGGTTTGTTGAAATTGGTGATAGGCTGTACTTACTCTTGACCATCCTCGAGGATTTGATGCCTCAGAGATATAAACCCCGTAATCCGTTCCAATTGCAATCAAAAGTTTCCCATATGACATAAACGATACTGCGCAGTTTACTTGAGCTCTGCATACCGGAGACGGCCGAGGTTTTGATCCATAACTGTGTTCCATGTCCCTGACAGCTCTATCTAGTGGCGTACCAGAAATAGAAATGAGAGCCCTTTGCTGATAGATCGTTGAGTTGTCATAAGCAAAAGCACTATCAGCAACAACTTTAAGACGGAAAGGCTCAGCATTTTGCGCAAAAAGAGCCGCTGCATAACGAGTTTTCGCTTCGATTATTTTATCACACCACTTGTCTCGATTTGCGGCCGATGGAGCATATAGAGTATAAACTTCGGCTTTGCCCAGATGCTTGATACGGAATGGATACATGACCTTTGCATCGTTGTCATTCATATTATTCGAATTAAGTCTTGTCACGGAAGCTGTAGTTGAGACTGAATTATTAGAGTTTGTGTGCTCCAATGTTTGCATTCGCTCAAGTCCGCTAGTAGCATTCGTGGCAGTACGCATTAACCTTGCTTCGGCAGCGTTTGCTGGAGTAGTCTTGGCGACAGTTGTCGTGACAGCACCAATACCCTTCACAGCGGATTTCTGTACTGGATCATCGTCACTGCTCTCGAGAACTAAAAGCTGCATTGGAATCGGCTAAAATGCATGTCAGTAGTGCTATATAACTGGAGGTTAGTCAACACTCACAAGTTTTGATACATCATAAACTTCCTTCTTCCGCAAACCATTGGCATCTCGTTGAATAACACTCTTGGCTAAGACAAAGTAATGATCAAAGAGGATAGCATGAGTTTCCAACCAGGTGAATCGATTATTACCTGCACGCTGCAGATCTCCTCTATGAAGGAGCTCACGGCCTAGATGATCCAGATTGAGCTCGACACGCTCCATGCCAGGGCGAAGATAGAGCTTCGACTGGAGCTCAATCATATCAACTTTTCTACTCTGTTCCTCAACCTTAGCATCACACTCTAGGGTGACTGCCTTGATTTCTTCAATGGCTATCGCTAGAGTTGCTTTCTCGTCGCTATCTTTGGTCATATTTTTGAGAACAGTACCAAGGAGGAGACCGTAGCGCTGCAATCTTGTGATCGGGGCTTTCAAATATGTATTCCAGTCTAGACGACCAGAGAGCTTGTTGTCTCGAGCTTGGTCTAGAAATTGGCGGAAAAGAATATTTCTGTCTGCTTCTCTTCGAACCAGATAAGTGGCGTATGGGAACCCAGCAGCATATTCGATATATGCGGACTTGGCCTTCCTTATCCATTCTCTGAAAATGTCGCTGAAGCCCGTCACCCAAGGTCCTTGCTCTTTTTGTCTGTACTTTAATTGTGCAAGTAGATGATTTTCATTAACATCTTTAATGGCTTCGACTTTCCCGAAAACAGAAGCAACAAATTTTGTGATCTTCGTTTTTGCGATGATGGGAGGTTGCCACGAAGCAAGATTATCTCGATACAATATACGTAACACGTTAATCTGATCCATGTAGATATCCTCCGACATGACTATCTCATGGAGGTTATTCTGTAACTCAATCTCTTTCTTGGTTACACCCCCAAGGATTTCCTTTGTTAGTTTAAAGAAAGTGATCCAGTCCTCGGACTTTCTAGATGGTTCCAGAGTTTGGGACTGTAAGTTGATCTTCTTTAGTGTGCGAGTACAATGATGTGAATAACATCGTCCTTCGATTTCATGTTCATGAACCTTTGGCGCATAGCATCCTGACCCTGTCAATTGCCATAATACACCGGATACTTCACCTTGGCCAAATTTGACCCACTCTTCATCTTTCACCAAAATGCCAGCGTCGAACATAGACTTTACGACTTTTTCACTAAGGGTTTCTGCATCCGCTGTGTTCATGGTTGGTACCATGTGGGTGAACAGGGCTATAAGGCCATCTTCGATAGTCTTTACTCGGAGATCTGATTCGCCTTCTCCTGTCTCCCCGCCAGCCATCTCTCGTATCCAACCTGCAATTCCACTCAAAGCCCATGGCTCTGTACACCTGCGCAATTCGGCAGTTGATAACCTTCCAGGTGAAAACTTCTTACGGCGGCCGGCTGGCAAGGCGGGTAGATCAAGCGTCCCTAGAGACGCTGGAGTAGATGCATCATAACCATCTAGTCCTGCAGCCGAGCGAAGCATAGATTGTCTATTGCCCTTTGCTCTGGTTTGACGCTCCTCGGCATCTGTTTTCGAGCGAACGGGAGGTATTGTTTGTGCAGTATTGCTGTGACTATGAAGAGATGATGATCTGGGAACATATTGAAGGGCCGGCTGAAGTATATTTTGTGGGTATGCTTCCGGTCCACTAGGAGGATACGGCCTCGCGCTGTCGACACTGGAAGAGTAGGAGTGTGAATAACCATGCGAATTGCGGTAAGAGCCAGCTGGTTGTAATTGCGGTGTCCTATTTTCGGACATCGGAGGGACTGCCGGAAGAGGCCGTTGGTAAGATCCCGGAGTCATCCCCGGATGGTAGAACATATCTGGAATTTCATCTCTCGGGGGGCTATCACTTCCAGACCTACCACTTTGCCGAGAATCTAAAATTCGAGATTGAATTGAATTCTCATCACCTTCATCAAAGCTCAACCGGTGAGCATGAGAAGTTGGCCTTTCTAGACCGCCTGTACCGTAGTTATCAACCCTGGCTTCTTCAAAAGCAGGGAAAGGATGAAGTTCACCCTCGCCGGGCATGGAGTAGTCAGCCATCCCTCCCAAACCACCTCTTTGAGCGCGACTGTCAGAACGACTAAGTTGGTGCGGTGTCGGTAATGGTCGACTTTGATCTTCCATCTCACTGCTATGTTCTGTACTCATACCAGCAAAATCATCTCCATAAGACATATGTGCGTCGTAGCCACCGCCAGCGAGGCCTAAATCCATACCTTTGTAATCACTATCACTACTTTCCCCTTGAGGTAGCTGAGATTGATGTGATGGTTGCCCCTCGTAATATGATGGTTGTCCTTCGTATGGTCCACCAAAACTCAAGCCCCCCGAACCTAGTCCATGGGATTCTTGTTCTTCGGCAATGCGCATAGCTTCGAGGCCAGCAGCTGCTTCCAAATCGCTTTCGTCATCTTCGTAATTATCGTAAGAAGTTCCCTCGGTATGTAATGTAGAAGCTGTAGAAGGAAAACGGTCAACACCAGTACCAGAATGAACAGTAGTTGCTCTTGAGTCATATCGATGTAATTCACCATCCAGAAGGTCTCCATTCCGGTGGGAAGTTCCAAGGGCATCTCCAATATCCGCAAAGATTTGTTCTTGGGTAAGTTCTTCATCTGTCTTACCTTGTATTCCTAGACCCCAATCATCTTCATCTCCGGCACCTTGTTCCATTGGCGCACTAGGTAAGGGTCTTTGCGTTGGGTGTCTCTGTAGTGTGGTTCCAGGAGAGGCAGGCATAGGTATCACGGGGGCATTTGAAGAATTTGTCGAAGAACGTTTGGGCGGAGGAATAGGAGGGATTTCTTGAGATATGGAGTCAGTTGAATTCTCTCGAAGAACACCACCGGGGAAATTCGGGTATGTGGGCATTTGTGTAGTTCTCCTGTAATCATAGTCGTCTTCAGCAAAATTGTCCCCGTTAGTTGGATATGGAGTTGTAGAAGGCGGTGGATTATATGAAGCCTGTCTTGGGGGTAAAGTAGCCGAGTGAGGAGCATAGCTTGGACTTCTCAAAGGTGGCGAATCCATGTAACTTTCGTATATAGCACTTGCGCGAGCTGGAGGCGATGAAGAAGAAGAATTGTATGACCAATAGGACGCCGATGTAGAGGTAGGAGTTTGCGCATAGGAATTGTTGTAATTGTTGTACGCAGAGGCAGTAGACGAAGCGCGTGTGGGATATTGCGATGGCTGATAAGCTGCAGGATTATACGATGTAGAATTCGAATATTGGTGTTGACTGGAAATACTCGGGCTATATGAGGGTTGAGGACGATATTGTGAAGGCTGCGAGTGCGACTGAGACCTGGCAAAGTTCTGGGGGTTGTATGCAGGCTGTTGGGGAAGTGAGGGGGATTGAGATCCATTCAGAGGTTGGTATTGATGTTGATATCCCGACAAAGCGGGACTACCAGGTGTTCCAAATGACGATCTGCCAGGCGATTGCGGGCTCATTGAGTTATTTGGTATGTATAATTCTTCTGATGGCATTGAAGCCCTCGCCGATGATGGCGGGGCAGGTTGGTATCCGCTATTACCCGGGTCAAAAAATGCAGCATCATCTCCATTGTCAAAACTAGACTGCCTATGCAAGCCTTGACTCGGGTTATTCGAGGGTTGACCTGTTGGTGCACCGTATTGTGCTGGAGGTACATGTCCGTAGCGTCGCCCACCATTTGCGTGGAAGGACATGGTTGCGATAACAAGAATCTGTCTGCGCAAGAGCTCAAGTTCCTAATGAATTCGTATGTACAATAAGAAACCTGGGAATCTGCGAATCGACCAGCCAGCTTATTATGATTGTATCTTAGTTTCTGAGCATCTGGCTTGCTCCGCGCGATTAGACAGTCGAGATGATTCCCATTTGCTGGTCGTTGGGAGATTGTGCTTAGGGGGAAGATAGCTAATCGGTCGATTTTAATGGAGCGTCAGGGAGCGTCGAATTTTCCAGAGAATCAAGAAAGGTCGTCGTCTCAATGCTGAGCTTATGCGCGGTGTCGTGTAATAAAAATGCTTGCTTGCCCAGGTTTTGCGACAATGTGGGAGATTTCGATGCGGGTATTCGGAGTCTCCGTATCAGAGCAATCCAATCTTGACTGGGGACTAACAATTGATCCTTTGACCTTTGGATTTTTCTGCGGGGGAAGGGAATGTTGTGATAATAAGCAAAGTTTTCCAAGAAGATTAAGATATTTGTAGGAGTTATTTAAATAAAAGCGAATGACTGAGTAATAAGGAATAAATGAGTCCAGTAGAAGATGGTATAGCCTTGTATCTTTTGTCTTATTCAAAGAGAGGTAGGTAGTTCTATGTGTTTGTTGTGTGTGAAGTCGTATATGCTTTTGATTTTGATTTTGATTCTGGTTTTGATTCTGATTATGATTCTGATTCTGATTTGGTCTTTATCTTTGTATACTTCCCAGGTAGCGTAGGTCGGTAATATTTATTATTCCATTGTACCATATAAGACGTTCTGGAGCAGCTGAGTGTCGTCGCAAGCTCTCGAATGTTGATTGGTTTGATTGACCACCACTTTTCAAAAGGTTATTTAAGCCCAGATGTAATTATAATGACAAGATCTAAATCATTGTAAGATTAAATTCTATATCTAGACCTTTCTCAATTAATGATCAATGGGGGTAAAAGTACCTGGTAGTTTGTACGCGTCAAGCAATTCAATCAATCAACCCATCAATAAATAAGCTTCCAGGTTATTAGCTTGGTATTCATTTGCTCGTTCATTCTTTCATTCATATGTACATACGAGGTATCTTCATACTTTCATGCTTTCATATATCTCAGCCCTTTTACCATTCAAAGAGGAATGTCATTGTCAACCAATGTCTTTGCTATTCATTCATTCATTCATCATCATACCATTGGTGTTATCACTCCAAAAGACTTCGCCCCGCTCACACATTACCATCTAGGGATGGATTCACATCAATGATGGATGGCACAGGAAAAAGAAAGGAAAGAATGGGATAAGCCTCATGGTAGGGCTGTGTGTGTGTGTGTGTGTGTGGCTAATATCATTCAAAAATGCAAGACGGCGGCACAGAATGCAGATACATGATATATCAAAGGTAAGCAAGCTAGAATCTAGGATCTGATGTTGGATTTTCTGTCATAGCATACCACCTACTTCTGTCAATCATGTCAATCACGTCAATCACGTCAATCACGTCAATCATGTCAATCGTCTCAAGTAAGGTTATTCTTAAAGCTGTGATCGGGTCCCCAATCCGAAGCCCTTAGGTTAGATGAAGTACAGGATCGAGAGGATCAATGATATCGAATATTGATCGTCAATCTTGTACCAGAAGAGGTTTTAGAAGGGTGAAGGGTCTCCAGTAGTTCTCCAAACCGAACTCCTTGAAGCAACATTCCACGTGGATCCCATGTGATGAAAGAGAAGTTAGTAACATCAAACTTGAGTATGAGTTCAGATTTCAGATTTCAAATTTCAGACTTCATACTTCAGAGCACAGAGAAAACATTGAATATCTCATGTTTTATCAGTGTTAACAAAGACCGCTTGCTCCATTCTATCCTCACATTTGTTGGCATTCCAATTTCTTCTACATCTCGCCATTCATCAGTTTAATATCACAGCCATGTCTATAAATTATCCCTACACGTGTCACCACTGATTCACAATTAGCCAGCGCATGGTCAGATTGTAAGATATCTGTGGGCTCTGGTAGCCAAGTTCGCCAAGTAATTCTTTTGATAAGAATCTTTTCCAAACGGCTCTTTCTTCGTACTTAGCCCATGTGGAGGTTTGGGCGGAATGATGTTCAGAAAACCTTTCAGTCGTTTTACTTTCCCGAGACCCCTATTTGATATCCTCCTATAGACTGACAGCGTTGACTTTTGTATGATTGCGGGACCTTCATTGACAAAGGCAGTATGAGGAACACTACTGTGTTATGTGTCTTGGCAAAAATAATCCAATCGATCACGAAAATTGCGAACCTTACAGCAAAAGCACTGGCGCTTGAAATTCAGGGGTAAGGAGGCACTGCGTTCTGTACATCAAGTCAATATGTACTCACCACTTTGACCTGCCGTGGCAATAAAGAAGACCAATTACCGTGGCTACCATATTATCATACTGATGACTGCCAGTGGCATGGAGTCGTATGAATGAAATATTCGAAACAGTGGCTGTATATGGGCAAGGATATCCTCAGGCTTCTCCGTACAGAGGGAGAGCATGAAAATCACAGTGAAACTGGCAGCAGCATATATATCTTTGCTGTACATAGTATGGTTTAGCGGTATATGCTTATACAGCTACGGGAATTCCTCACTCATATGTGCTGCGGTATCGAAGCTATTGACGATTACAATACTGGTGCCTGGTAAAAACCCAGCAAGGAAGACAATTGCCGGAAAAGTTCTGTCCTCTGATTCTCGATATAAGCAAATACGGGCATTTTTGATTTTATGGGCATCTCGGAGAGAATTAGTGACGGGGCGACGAACGGCGTGTTCATATGGATGAGGACGACTCTGAGCTTGGCGACGATGGAGAAGACTTCAAAGAGCGACGCTTTGAGAAGGAGTACCAGAGCATTAGATTGAGATATTCAAGGCTCGTTGTGCCAGCCATAGAGTTTTGAATATCGGCATACCGTTTGTCTGTAATTTCAAACATACAGCTTCGATATTAAACTCAATTCTGAGCATTTACATGATATTAACTACTCCGCTGGTACTGTGAAGTTATTAGCTTTCCATCGACGTCAGTGTTTGACAACGACGAACGATTATGTAATCTCACAGCAACGTCCGGTCACCGGTGTTCGGAAATAAAGATGATTGAATTGATAATCGTGCAGATGAATTGCCATTTACCAAACCCCACTTTCGGTATGGAATGTTCAAAGCTTCCAACGAGTTCCCACCCCTCTTTCTTTCCTATTTCTACTGTTCTTGCAATCGACCACAACTTCCAAATTCTCATTGAAAACCTCAAAAACTCCCAAATCAACAGATTTCATAACATAATCCATCAAAATGGTTAAAGCAGGTAAGTTTTATATCTCCAATATCGACTTCTGCCGCCCCCACCCACATATCTGATGCTGTAACCAATGGCGGGGTCAGCTAGAGAGCTTTTGAGCACATTTCCTCTGTCAATGGGATACCCGGATGGGTAAACTATCTCAATCAAGCATCTCATCTACATCATCCCCATATCTTGCATTCCTTTTTTATCTTTCGTTGTTTCACGGTTCCAAGTATGGAATAAAATATATACTAACCCTGGTTCTTTCCATTTCAGTCGCTACCGTCCGAGGTGACTCCAAGATCTCCGGTACCGTTACCTTTGAGCAATCCGAAGAGAACTCTCCAACTACCATCACATGGAACATCACCGGAAACGATGCCAATGCTGAGCGTGGCATGCACGTTCATCAATTCGGTGACAACACTAACGGCTGCACATCTGCCGGTCCTCATTGTACGCTTTTCAAGCTCTGGGTGGAATACACATACAACGGAACATAAGGCTGACTCGATATTTTAGTCAACCCACACGGTCAGACCCACGGTGCTCCCACCGACGAGGTTCGCCATGTAGGTGATCTTGGAAACTTCAAGACTGATGCCCAAGGAAATGCTACTGGTTCCGTTCAAGACAGTCACATTAAGTTGATTGGTCCATTGAGCGTCATTGGCGTATGTACTCTCTCGCATCATTGATATGTGATTGCTAACAGCCCTCAGCGTACCGTTGTTGTCCACTCCGGAACTGATGATCTCGGTAAGGGAGAGAACGAAGAGTCCAAGAAGACTGGTAACGCCGGAACCAGACCAGCTTGTGGTATGTCATTCATTCACTGGAGATGCAGGTATTGAACACATTACTAATATTCCCATAGGTGTCATTGGTATTGCTGCATAAATGGTGTAGCACACAAAATGGTATGAAACGAAATGATATGATCTGATGAACATGGAAAAGGGGTATGAATAGTATAGCTTAGTTTGCCTGCTGTGTCTAGTTTCAACAGAAAAGCAGTCGTTTTACTCCACTGATTTTGGTCAACTTATGATTTATGAATTATTGAAGCGAATAGAAAAAAGCTATGTTCATCTCAGCTCCGAAGTCAATGATTGTGTGGTAAGCTTGATTCGAGTGTTGAGTACTGTTATATGTGATTTTTACAAATTCCTATATTGAATCGAAGTTTGCTTCACAAAGAACAAGCAATACCTAATTACTTGGCATATATAGTACAATATTGCATCATTTTGTCCTGGTGACCGAGGCTAACGTTGTTGCCCCTCGCCCAAGTAGGGTCCATTGATTTATATAGATTTAAGCTCCCGTTGACCGGTTATCCCGCCATTGAAGTTTGCTTATTATAACTACTACCTAGGTAGGTACGCGAGGATTGAAATTAACATCATTCTCTATTTTCACTTCAGTTGCATTACATGACATTACATTACAGCAAATTACAGCAAATTACAACAGAGTTCTCACCTACCCACCCAAGACAGTGTACGTTACATATACCTCTCAGCTGGCTGAAGGGTAACCATACATTTCGAACATGATCTCCGGACAACATGGATTACAGCTCCATGGAAATACATCTTCGCTTCATGCACCAATGATCTCTTCCAGATCCTTACCCCACATCAAGGGTTCAATGGGACCTTACAGTAATGGAATTATATAAAATGTAGCCTCATCTAAATGGATGATGAAGCTCCAAGAGAACACTTGACCTCTTTCCATCTTTATCATTTTACCATCTAATTGACTATTTAAAGAGAATTGGAATACCTGATATTCTCGATTCTCTTGCTCGTTGAATCTAAATTTGTATTCTGCATCTTTTTACTATCTGTTGCATCTTACTTGATTCCATATGTAAGTTGTACAATATTCCCTTTTCCTCCTTCCCCTCATCCTCACCCTCACCCTCACCCTCACCGCATATGTATACAAGAACTGCCTGCCGCAATCCGCATTCTACGCCACTTAAATGGAGGTGTTGAGAAGGCTACCGACCTCCAGCTAGGTATGGATGAACGAATTGAGAATCAGAAACTGGGAGTAGATTCATTGGATGAGAGAAGTGAATTCATGAGAAGGGGGAAATTGATGACTAGTCACTACTCTCCCAAAAGTAGCTTCAATTTGTCGATTTTCACCATGATCAATTCATTCGACCCTCAACCACAAACCGGAGAAGGAGCTTCACCTTTGAAAAGTATTATAACCCAGATCTGGAAAGTCTAATTTTCAATTTCGATTTCGCACATCCTGCTTCGAGATTCACTCTCATGCAAACCACATTTTCATACGGCATCCAGCAGATTGTATCTCGAACACATATAAACGAAAACATTCTACTGTATTGCTTTGACGAGATTCAATATCATACCGCGACGCCTAGACTACTTAAACCTACCCAGTATCTGCAACTCAAATCGCAGAGACAAACAACTCTCTTTTACACGAATTCAATAAATTTACAACAAGAATTACAACTCCCACTACACGCATACCTATACCTATACCTATACCTCCACCATTGTTGAATCTTTCATTATAATCAAAATGGGTGTCAAAACATTCAAGATTGGCTCTGCGGCAGGCGTTTCTAATGACCGCAAATCTTCTAGCAGCTCATCGGTATCAAAAGCTTCTCAGGAATCTGCTAACCTACCTGAACCTTTTCCTAGTCCCCGCATTCCACCACTCGGAAAGAAACGACTTGCCAACGTACCTCCATCTGATTACAGCAAAATGGTTCTCAATCAAGCAAAAGTTAAATCCGTCTTGAGCGGCGACAGTCTTGTACTTACCTCAGTTGAGAACCCGGATCTCGAGCGCATTTTGTCCTTGGCTTATTGCACTTCACCACATCTGCGAAAGGAAGGTGACGAACCATTTGCATTTCAGTCTCGCGATGCCTTACGAAAATTAGTAGTGGGCAAGGTTGTACAATTCCAAGTCTTGTACCAAATTCCAAATACTAAGCGCGAATATGGACTTGTTTTTCTCAATGATGGAACCAAACTACCGGAAGAAATGATAAAGGAAGGTTGGCTTAAATTGAGAGAAGATGCTGGCCGAAAGGAAGATTCGGAATCGGCCCTTCAACAACTCGACGCCTTACGTTTATACGAAGCTACCGCACGCAGTGAAGACAAGGGTCTATGGCAAGAAAATGGTGGACGTATCGAGGTCCAGCATGACATGGGCAACCCAGAGTCTTTCTTAGATACATGGAAGGGAAAAACAGTGGATGGTTTGGTCGAACGTATATTGAGTGGTGATCGAATGCTTGTGCGTTTGATTGTTACTCCTACACAGCACATTCAAGGTCGGTTTAAGCAGATTCAAGTATGTGAAATAATCAACTGACAATAATTAGTTATGACTTTGGTCGCTGGTATTCGCGCACCAGCTACTGAGCGAGTCAACCCATCGAATGGACAAACAGCTCCTGCGGAACCATTTGGAAACGAAGCACGACGTTTCGTCGAGGAAAGACTATTGCAAAGAAATGTTAAAATCCATATTCTTGGACTTAGCCCACAAAATCAACTCATTGCTTCAGTTATCCATCCCAAGGGAACTATTGCCAAATTCATCCTCGAAGCTGGACTTGCACGATGCACCGATTTCCATTCAACACTCCTTGGCTCAGACATGGCAACGTTACGTGAGGCTGAAAAGCGTGCACAACATGCTAAACTCGGTCTGTTCAAGGACCATGTTGTAAAGAACAACGGTGCAGGTGGAAGTCTTGAAGCAACTGTTACCAAAATTTTCAGCGCCGATCAAATCTTTGTCCAGAACAAGGCAGGTGTTGAGAAGCGCATAAACATTAGTAGTATTCGTGGACCTAGACCTACTGAGTCATCTGAAGCACCTTTTAGAGACGAAGCTAAGGAATTCCTTCGAAAACGCCTGATCGGAAAACATGTCCGAATTAGCATCGATGGTTCAAGACCAGGCACTGAGGATTATGATGCAAAGGAAGTTGCCACCGTTACTTTGAATGATAAGAATATTGGATTGCAATTGGTTCAAGAAGGTTGGGCTTCCGTAATCCGTCATCGAAGAGATGACACCGATCGCGCTCCTAACTACGATGATTTATTGGCTGCACAAGAGAAAGCCAAGGAAGAAAAGAAAGGAATGTGGTCTGGAAAGGCCGCAAAGGCAAAGCAATATGCTGATGCATCTGAGACTGTCCAAAAGGCTAAGCTACATGTTGGATCATTGCAACGACAAAAGAGAATCCCGGCCATTGTTGACTTTGTCAAAGGAGGCGGCCGATTTGTTGTACTCGTGCCTCGTGAAGGCATTAAACTCAACTTTGTTCTTGCTGGTATTCGAGCTCCCAAATCTGCTAGAAATCCAAGCGATAAGAGCGAACCATTTGGCAAGGAAGCACACGATTTAGCCACACGAAGATTATCACAACGTGATGTTGAAATCGATGTATATAATACCGATAAGGTTGGTGGCTTCATTGGTGAACTTTACATCAACAAGGAGAGCTTTGGTAAAATCTTGGTTGAGGAAGGTTATGCAACTGTTCATCAACACTCTGCCGAACAATCCGGAAATTCGAAGGAATTATTAGCAGCTGAAAAGCGCGCAAAGGATGCTCGAAAAGGTCTTTGGGCAGATTGGGATCCATCTTTAGATGTGGAAGAAGAGGAATACCAGCCTGCCAATGATGATGAAGTCACTCAGATCAAGAGAGAAAAGGATTACAGAGACGTTATTGTCACCCAGGTTAATGATGATGGAAAGTTGAAACTCCAGATCATTGGTACTGGTACTTCGGCTCTTGAGACCATGATGACTCAATTCAAGTCTTTCCACTTGAACCCATCCAACTCAACTGGTCTCCCCGGTCCACCAAAGGCTGGCGATTACGTTGCGGCCAAGTTTTCCGAGGATGGTCAATGGTATCGTGGTCGCATACGCTCCAATGATCGTACTGCTAAGGAAGCAGAAATTGTTTATATCGATTATGGTAACAGCGAGAAGATTCCTTGGTCTCGTCTCCGACCACTTTCACAACCACAATTTTCAACGCAAAAACTTCGCCCACAAGCCGTTGATGCTATCTTAACTCTTCTTCAATTTCCTACAGACAAGGATTATATGAATGAAGCAATTAGATATATTATTCACAACACCGCCGACAGGGAACTCGTCGCAAATGTCGATTATACAGCTCCAGATGGAACTTTGTATGTCACATTGTTCGATGCTAAGAGTCAAAACTTGAACGATAGCATCAATAATGATATCGTAGCTATGGGTCTTAGCATGGTTCCAACTAAGTTGAAGGGTTGGGAGAAGGGATTTGCGGATGTTATCAAGAGTTTGACTCAAAGTCAAACTGAGGCTAGACAAAATCGCCAGGGTATGTGGGAGTATGGTGATGCTTATGAAGATTAAATTGGTGGATGGAAGATGAAGGCTGGCCAATAATCAACTACTAAACATCATGAATTTCTCTTACTGTTCCTTGGCTCATTTTATTGCTGCTTTTGATAATTCTTGAGAATGTATCGCGAGCTTGTTTCTTGCATGGTATGGCATGGCATGGCTTTTCATAGCATAGCATAGCATGATGGTACATCCGTTCTCTTTTTTATGGCATTGCATTATAACTCACGCTGGATGGATGAATGGATGGATGGATCATTTGCATGGGATTTATAAAAGTCTTTTTGGTGGATGGATGGGGATGGATTGGTTGGCTGCATGGGGAGAGGAAAGGAGTGAGTGGTTGGTTGGTTGACTGGCATGGGAGAAGTTGATACCCTTCTACCTACTTAAGTATTTCTGGGTCTTGGTCTCGGTCTCGGTCTCGGTCTTAGTCTTGCTATCTAACTTTATCGGTTGGACTGGACTGGACTGGACTAGACTAGACGAGACTGGACTAGATTAAATGAATTCTTTTACTCGCGGAATTGGGAGATTGATTTGTGTCTTGTGTATGTAATGTGATGTGATGTGATCTAATACGATTGAAGAATTCGAAAAATGACAGTTGGGTTTTAGAAATTGTTTTTGATTTGATTTGAAATTATCTCTGGGTAGGTAGGTAGGTAGGTAGGAAGGAAGGAATCTAGTGG